TGAGTGCGCTCCGCCGCCAGGCAAACACCAACGGCACCTTGGTGGGAACTACTCCGCAGCAGCCCACGCAAAACATATTCCTGGGCCTGCCCATTGAGCTCCGGCCCGAAGAGGTGGACGCTCTAATCCGTACAAACGTCGCGTACGTCGTAGATGATGTGGCCGCGCACCAGTCGGCGCTGCGGGCGCTGGATCCCGACTCGCGGAGGGCCTATGTCAGCTCGCTGCGGCTGCGGAAGCAGACTGCGCAAAAGGTGTTTGCCGAGATTAACGCACACAAGGCCTCCATAACAGCCAGCAAGAAGAATAAGAATAAGGAAGCGCGTGATGACAGCTCGGCTGTTCCGTCGACCGACCTCGGAACAGCTGAAAGTGGTGCCCTTAAGCCAGATGGCAATCCATCGCCCCGCAATAGCCAAGTGACTCTGTTGGGTGTCACTCCAACATCTAGCAACAGCCATGTTTCCCCAGATGCGCATGCTTTGCCCGTGGAACCTCGTAACTCAGAAAAGGGATCGCTCTGCCAGTACATGCTGGGGTCCGGGTATTATATGACTCCAGGGCTTCGATTTGGGTCACGCTACAGTGTCTATCCCGGTGATCCTTTGCGTTTCCATGCTCATTTCATGGCAAATGAATATGGCTGGGAGGAAGAGATACCTATCCTTGATATCGTAGGCGGCGGCAGACTGGCAACAGCCGTAAAGAAAGCGTTTCTTATAGGCGGCCGTAAACCGTCTACAAGTTCTGAGATGGTCACATCTCCGGTGAGAACATTCAGCATAGAGTGGGCTGGTATGTAACGCTTTAATGTTTATTATAAACACGAATTCCGCTATTGAAAGGAAGGGTGCCAAATATATATATAATACGACGTCAGTCTAGAAGAAGAATAAAATAAAAAGACCAAAAACTCCGAAACCAAAGATGAAAGCAATCAAGCTACCCGCCCCAACTCCCAGATAATGAATTAAGTATACAGTCAGGAATTGCTCAGCTTCCCCAAGAAGTTGTTCCGCTTTAAGACTCAGACGCTGTCATAGAATACGCTTCAGGGGACGTAGATCCGACTGAAGCTCATGACGTCGCGACGACAGCAAACGCATTTGTCAAAGTTGTTCATGGCCAGGGAAACACGACAGTCGTCACACAAGCTGAGACAGCGGCACGGCCACACGATGACTGTACGTGGTGAGCACTGGCATACGACGCAAGAGGGGCTGTCTCCCTCAGTAAGCGTGGACGCTTCGCCAGTCTCAGAGCTTTGCTGACCATCTCTCTCTGGAGAAGCTTGTCGTTTTGTCCAGATTAGCTGTTCGAGTAGAAGCTCTTCTTCCTCTGGGCTGAGCTTTGTGATACGGCCATGGGGACCGTGCTTATTCAACTGCTTTCCTTTTGGAGTCTGCGTTGTCAAAATTCGCGTCCGCTGCAGCTGCTCCATTCGTCTAAAGCCAGATCTGGTCAAGATGCGTTCGCTTTGAAGATGCGCTGCAAGTCTTTCTGCTTCTTGCCGTTCTTCCAGACTGGCAGGATGCAAAAGGCGAGCTAAATCAGCCATAGCCAGTGGACTATCCAGAAAAGGAGTGTCTTCACGCCCAGGTCGTGGTGATCGTTGAGTTGGGGTTCTATGCCCGCTGCCCTCGTCTGACATCCAGCCGTCTGCTTCTTCATCGTCGCTGTCGCCCCCATTGGTGGTCAAGGTGATTACGCTCGTATTGTCCCAGTCTTCTTCTTCTTCGCGAGGCTGATATGTTTCGCTCATATCCTGAGATCCCCACCATCCTCCTTTGAGCCAGTATTTGTATAGATCCTTATCCAGGGCCTCTTCATCTTGACTTGTACCAACTCGTCTGAATTCAGCTTCGATATCCAAAGCATCCGACCTCAGAGTCGCATCCAAATTCGAAGGCTTCGCCGTCGAATCTCTACTTCCGCCAGGGCCACGGCTTGGTCTCGATGCAGTTTCATTCTCAGGAGTCTTGGACCGGCGCGCCAGCCAGAGCAACCATCCAGGGCGGGACTGGATACGGCAGACCCCAAGGATCCACATGAGAGATAGAGCAAAAACTCTTGCCAGCAGCTTGTTGATGCTGAGGAGAAACTCCAAAGCGAGAAACCACCTGGAACTCCTCTCGGCAGCGCCAATACCGACTCTAAGGACCTTGTCGCCACGGCCACGGGGAACCTTTTGCGCAGCACGCTCTCGGCTATATCCGTTTGGGGGTAGAAGAGGCCCATCTTTGACAGGTATCAGTCCAACAGTGCCGATTTGATCATAACGGGGATCAGAGAGGCCCATGCTTATCCATTGCCGCCGCAACTCCTCAGCCTCTCTGTAACGAGCCTCTTCGAGCCAGGTCTTGCGCTTAAGGCTGACACCACGATCTTCGTTGAGATAAACAGCTTCACTGGCCATAGTGATAGCAGCGAATCCTGTTCTGAGCAACGCAGTGTAGAAATCCATCTCCCGCGTAATACGCAGTTCCGACAGCGAGACATTTGCCTGCATGTTTTCGTGTGCATAAAGCAGTCGTTGGCGAAAGCTCATCCTAGATTGTTCTTGGCTGGCTGTTGGCATCGCGGCTGTAAGTAGCAGTGCTAATCCGTATATGAACAGACACATGACAATGCCAACTAGGATCAATACATGGGGAACAAAGCCAATGATGCACACAGTAGGAAATCTAAAGAATCCGTGCGACGCAATGTTGTCAGGCTCAAAAGCGAAAAAGCTCCATACGAGGCTGCCCATAAAACACAAGCCCCAGAAACCCGTATTCACCAGCCGATACTTTGCTTGAAGGTCGAAAACGCCCAAGACGTGACTTGTTATATGTGTCATCGAAGACAGGAGGGCGATCCATAAGACTTCAGGCGATGTGTTGACACGTCTGAGAATTGCCGCTCGTGTCAGGGTAATAGTGTTGCCTTTGCCGGTTGGTATAGGGGGCAGGTTTTGGTATTTGGAAAACGCGCCCCAACCAAGCTGGTTGTTGATAGCAGCATCCGCTTCAGCAAAAGCCAGAGACTGTTCAAACAGCGTCATGCCCGTCTCGGCGGCAACGGGACGTCCCTGTACAGCGCAGGTAAGCGTCTCAAGAAATTGACTCAGACACAAAGAAGTAAATAGAGGCCACAGTCGAGATAAAGAGCCTTGGAGCTCTCCAACAACCTCGGCATCTTGCGGCGGGACCATGTTCACAGAAACACAGGACTGTTCATCTGAGGCTCCAAAAAGCAGCGACGAGCTTATGGTATTCAAAAAGGGATTTGTATGAGCAGACATGAGATCAGAGCTCTTGTTGGTATCGCCCCATCTAAGGTACGCAAATTCCGCTGACGTCTGGCACTGAATGGACTGCAGAAGATGGCGAGCTTGGAGAACCAGCAAAGTAAAGGGAATGAGTCGCACCAGCAGCCTCACTTGCCAGCGGAGCCGTAGACGCCTGCGAGTAGCGGCAAAGATGTGAGTTCTGTTGAGGATAACGGCCATGGCAATGCAAGAGAGCGCCCATTTGCTGGTGGCATAGTTGAAGACGCTGCCCAAGCCTCGAACCCCGTCCAGAGACAAGAGCTGCGGCTGCGCTGCCGAGCCCGCCTGGGCGCTGGGAGTTGCGGCGACGTCGACAATATTGCTATAGAGGCTCGAGTCGGTGGCAGCGGGATGGAGAATCCCCGGTTCGGGCATCGCAGACGACATGGCGTCTTGGGCCGGAAGGCCAAGGGCGTTGGGAGCTGCCATGAAGGAGCCCAGCTTCATCACTATGCGCGGGCCTGCCTTAACGAAGCCCTCGATCATGGGGGCATACCGCGTCACGTTGACTGCGCGGGCAAGGGCCGTGAGATTGTACCAGGCATTCGTCGTCGTCGGGTCGAAATCGCCAACTTGCTGAGTCGCTGCCAGAGGCGGCGCTAATCCGATGCCATCCTGCATGGCCGAGGCCAGTCAAGCGATGGCCGCGCCGGAAGAGAAGTCGGATCGGCCGAGGCACACGAGGCAGCGCGCTTGGAGAGTCGTGGAGGACGTCGGAGAAGACCAGAAGCGATGCAGTCGTGAGAAGGGCCGTCGCAGCTGTGGATTCGCTGGAGTGTCTGGAGAGAAGCCGAGCAACAATCACGTCCCAGCAGAACGCTGAGCGCTTTAGAGTTTAGTGGGGGATGTCAGTACCTTGGCGCTACTGCACAGGCACTGGGGACTGAGCTGTGACGTGAAATGGTTCAATGAGCCCGTGGCATGGCATGGGAAACTCCGCAGTGGAGGTCATGAAGGCACCACCACATGCTAGACTAGATGGATCTGAGCTTGTAAACATTGGAGAGCCATGCGTCCCCAACGTCCGTAATAATAGTACATGTACCTACGTACTTGTCACCGCTAACACAGGCCTAGAACGTGGAGAGGCACGAGTACAGTTCCTCCGTCGACATCATTCCTTGTTTCGTGCAAGTGCCCAGGCCGGCGCAATAACACGCATGTGTTGCTACTTCTGCTACTTCTCACCTCAGTGGTTGATAGGTAAGACCTTAAGTGCAAATTAAGCACAGCGTATATCAAAAGCAAAGCAGTAGTTATCGACAATAAGTCATATTCTGCTCTGTAAACACGATAGGAGGCCATGAGATGCGTGCTAATCAATGCTGTCCCATTCTAGCAGATATGGAGCACTAATTAGTATGGTAATCGAAAATTAGCGGCATTGTCCACCAAGCCACAGCGCACCCCGATCTCGCTACAGCAAGCACCGCAACACTTGGGGACCAAGACATGACGGAATTGGCGCCTTGAGTGATTCTATCTGTTGTTTCCTTTTTCTTTGTCACTTCTTCATCTTATTTATACATATGTAATCAGGTCTCAACAAGTGGCCAGTGTCAATACTCCTGGGAGCGCTGCTATAGGCCGCTCACTACCCACCAATAACGTACCAGCCGTCTATGCACGTCCGCCACCTTAGATCTTCAGCTATTTCTCAGATGCAAGTCTCTCCCTCCAGCCTGCCATGGACCAGGACACCACAGACCAAAGCGGCAAATCACCCAAGCCTGTGACGCCAGAGAGCGATACTCCGGCGTCTCTTCTGCTGCAGAATATCGAAGCCCCGCCCGTTGCTACCCCAAAAACCACCAACGGATGGGGTCGAGATCCTGAAGAGGACAATGACGAGCCAGCTGTAGCAAAGCCCTTCGCTCGCATGTCCAGCCCTGACTCGGCAGCTCGCGCGCAGGGAGCCTCTAACCCTGCGGCGGAAGACAAGAATGGGGACGTGGAGAGCAGCCCGGACGACGGGCGGTCGTTCTACAAGATGCACAAGTTCAGTCTCTACGAAACAGTCAGCCGCTACTACATGGTCGGAGTGGACGTGAGCGAGAAGCGGTACAGGATCTTGAAGATTGATAGAACCACAGAGGGGGCCGAGCTGAACATCACCGACGACAAGATCATCTACAGCCTCAGGGAGGTGAACCAGCTGCTCGACACCATTGATGACGGAAATCGTGGGACTGGAGGCATCAAGCTCCGCTGCACCACCTGGGGCTTGCTGGGCTTCATCAAGTTTACCGGCCCATACTACATGCTTCTCATCACCAAGAAGAGCACTGTCGCCATGATTGGTGGCCACTACATCCACCAGGTGGAGGGAACTGAGCTGGTGCCTTTGACGCCTGGACGGTCCAAGGTCGACGCTCGCAACAAGCCGGAAGAGCAGCGCTACCTGACGATATTGAACACGCTTGACCTGACCAAGTCATTCTACTACAGCTATTCATACGACATTACTCGAACTCTCCAGCATAACATTACCAGAGAGAGGAAATCACTCGCAAACGGCACCATACCGTGGCCAAACGAGGATCTCAATTCAATGTTTGTCTGGAATAGCTACTTGCTGCAGCCAGCAGTCGACGCGCTTCAAGATCCATATGATTGGTGCCGTCCTATCATACACGGATACATAGATCAGGCAGGCAAGTCATCCATAAATCTCAGAGCATGCATGAGCCACATATTGACTCAGCACAGCGCTTTCAATATATGGTCGAACCGCACATATTACTGTGATTGCTAGGCGGTCACGATATTTTGCTGGCGCCCGCTTTCTAAAGCGAGGCGCAAACGACTTGGTAAGCTGCCATTCACTTCATGAAATTGTCACCATCTTCTCACTCATAATTAGGGATACGTCGCCAATGACGTTGAAACAGAGCAAATCGTCGCTGAATCCTTGACAACGTCTTTCCACGCTCCAGGTCCAAGACCGTACTGCAGCCCTCAGTACACTTCTTACGTCCAACATCGAGGAAGTATACCTCTCTATTGGACACAAGACAACACCGGCGTGACTCCAAAGCCACCCATTGAGCTCAATCTGATAGATCCCTTCTATAGTGCCGCGGCACTCCATTTCGATAATTTATTTGAGCGGTATGGCGCGCCTATCTATGTGCTCAACCTTATCAAGTCCAAAGAGCGGCAACCCAGGGAATCGAAGCTTCTAGCAGAGTATACACATGCCATAGACTACCTCAACCAGTTCCTGCCAGACGACAAAAAGATCATCCACAAGGCGTGGGACATGAGCCGCGCCTCGAAAATCCGAGGTGGTGATGTGATTGGAAACCTAGAGACAATTGCCGAATCGGTCCTAAAGACAACAGGCTTCTTCCAAAACGGCGATGGGCTCACAAGCGGTATGACGGCTCAGAACGGCATTGCCCGGACCAATTGCATCGACTGCTTAGATCGCACCAATGCCGCTCAATTCGTCATTGGCAAGCGTGCGTTGGGCCATCAACTTCACGCTCTGGGGATTATTGAAAATACATCTGTCGAGTACGATACCGATGCCGTGAATCTCTTCACTCATATGTGGCATGATCACGGAGACACCATTGCGGTACAGTACGGCGGTTCTCAGCTTGTCAATACCATGGAAACCTATCGCAAAATCAACCAATGGACCAGCCACTCTCGAGATATGATAGAAAGCTTCAAGCGGTACTACAATAACTCGTTCTTGGACAGCCAGAGACAAGAGGCGTACAATCTCTTCCTAGGCAACTATATTTTCGCACAAGGCCAACCTATGCTTTGGGATCTCCCAACAGACTACTACCTTCACCACGCCAATCCTAGAGAATGGACAGATGCAGGACGGCCTAGTTACATCAACTGGTTTACACCGGCATATCTTAAGGAACGGAAGATACCGCCTTTCGTAGCACCAACGGCTCTTGGCCGCTGCAAAAATGCAGAGTCTTTTGACGATTATTGGCTAGAATATTATCGGCCTGCCACCCTATCTTCCTTCCCCAAGATGTTTGCGTACAAAATGAATTCCACCATCAAATATATTCCTCTAAAGGCAACCCAAGACGGTAGATACGACCTCAGCCCCTTCCGAGTCCGAACCGATGGTGACGTCGATCCGGAAAAGAGAAAAGGGAAAAAGGAGCCAACATCGCCGACCACATCTCTTGCTTCGACAAACTACCGACATTTAGACACGGGAGATCGAGCTTCGGTTACTTTCTCTGATATCTCTGGGAGAGATGGATCTCGCAATCTCTGGCTGCGGCCATCACATGCCGGCGAGCGCTGGGGAATCTACGATGGTCACGAGACCATGTATTCATCCAAAGCTTCTGCATCCGCAGATACTTTAAATCTAAAAGAGAAGTCGTCGGACCTCGAAAAATCTAAAACAACACAGTGGACATTTACCAAGGCGGTACATGACGCACTAAACCCAGTCGTAAAGGATCAGGAGGCAGATGATTATGAACGATACATTCGTCATCCTCAAAATCTTCCACTTGTTATATCTAGCGACACTCCTATAGACATCGACTCATCGGAGTATCAGGAGTATGTTGACGGCACTTGGCTCAATCAGGGCCTGATGGTTTCAGGGGTCGATGAAGATGCAGACGTGTATTCAGAACTGGTCAAGGTAGTAGAGAATCCCCTGACTGTCACCGAAGAGGATGCGCCTAAGAAGAGGTACAAAGCGTACGGGAAGTGGCTTCGAGGAAAATCCTTCTTCAAACAGCAGCCTCTTGACTGAGCATTATGTGGCTCCCAGAGGAAGAAGGTATGAGTACTTGCACATTTCATTATGTTGGGACACTAGGGAACAAATCGACTAGTCGTGGCTCTATTTGTAGCGCCGCTGTGAGCCCTGCAATGGGTCCAGAACCTTCTCGGACCCAAAGAGATTGCAAGATCGTCGATGTACGGGTTAGGTGTGCCGAGATTTGATCCGCATCTTCGGGTGGCAGCTGTGACGATTTAAGATTGAGCCAACACAGGGAAATCGTATGGATGGCTTGATCGATGTACCCGGGAGATGAAAATCTCGGCCAGCAATTCACCAAAGTTGCATTCAGGGCCTCTGTGGTTGAAGAGACCAATGGCGGGTAACTCATAACAAAGGGATCCGATAGCGTAGAGGCAAACAGGCGAAGAAGATTCTATCCGAAAGCTGTCAGCACCTAACAACAGAGAGATTCTTTCAAGAGGATCTTTATCCCAACCTGGAGATGCTTTGCTGAGAAGAATCCCAGGCACAAGATGATATCCTTTGTGATATTCATAAGAACTTCGACGATGCGAGGATACTCGGAGGCATGAAAATGGCCCGCAAAGACGCCATCTCGCAAGAGCTTGTCAAGAAAACGTCGTCTTCGCAAACTCTTTGGGTCTGGGTCCAGCTGGGCTATCCGAAGGAGCACTCGATATGCAGGATACAAAAGCTCTATGGACTCGCTCTCGGGTGTTGTGGAGGGTAAGAAGAGTAAGGTGGGGAAAACAGCGTCCTGGATCACGTTGTCAACGCCAGCAGACAGTATCACGTTTGCCGGGCATGTATCTAGGAAGAAACCAATAATCTGCAAGCCTTTTATCCTGACTGCTGTGTTGTGGTCTTCGGCTAGCGAAAGTAGAATGGGAAGAAATAGGGGCCATTGGCGACCCATCGTAGCTTGCTAAACCTGAGTTAGCACTTATGCTTGGGCATTCTGGTCTTTTTAAGTGACTTACACTGCACAGCATGACTGCCCATTTACAACTTGAAGCAGCGTGGACTTTTTCGCGTTCCGGTGAGACAGTATCTAGAGATGTCCTGGCCTGTGTACCGGTAGGCTGCTGAGCGATTTGTGATGGCCTCCCAGAAGCAGTTAACCGAGTAGACGATTTAGAAAATAGCGGCCGAAGCGTGTCCTGGACTAGGCGTTGGGTGATGAAATTATCTAATCTGTCATCATTCAGATTGGATTTTAACAGGCGGGTCGCAAGCCGTGACGACTCTTTCGTTGTCCAGGCATCGTTTTCGTCAGTGTACGCAACGACACGTATCAAAACTGCGTCGTCGAAGAGAAAGGGCTCAGAAGGCGAGGTGCAGTAAGGCGAGATGATGGCGAGCAGTGCCAGTCCGACTTCGGCAGCCAGAGAATGAGCAGCATAGTCGGAATCTAATCCACGTCGTGTGAATGGTTTAGTCTTGGGAGAATCTGTTTGACAAGCGTCGAGAACCCTTACCTTGTATGGCGGTATCAGTTCCAAAAATGGGAAATTTCAACAGCTTTTGGGCCACTGAATCGACGAGGCTTCGCACATGTGATGACTCTTCGTTGAAAGCCGGATCAGAGGCTTCTATCGATAGAGACTGCTGGTCTTCTTGGCCATTTGCGCGGGTAGCCAAGAGAGCATCGACATGGTGAAACAGCTCCAGGCCTATATCACGAAGTGCCTGTGGATGAGGGACGGTGAAATGTGAGAATAGAGCCACGGCCGAGAAATGATGCGTTGGGGGCTCACCACTGGAGTAGCTGCATCATTTAGCTTGGATGAGATTTCTGGCAAACTCAGATCCTTTTTCTGAGATGCTCCTGCTGAGAATTGGCTTAGCGAAGTTTTATCTAAACACACGATGTCTTGAACAAACCAGCTTGAACTGCACGCAGCCTTTCACGGTTGCAATCACCAAGCAAGGATTCATGCATGGTCAGAGCCTTTACTGATTTGTTAGTCGAAAAAACAATGACTCTTGACTGTTAACTCGGATTATGCTGAGAGAGCATGCAGTTTACAAGTAGCCTGGGTCAGTAGCTAGAAAGATGCCGAGCTAAGCTTCAGCGTTCTAGGCACTTGCTACGGGGAACATTGACGTAGGGACAGCACAGTGTATATATCAAGATAAACTGTATTTCTATGCTATTGCTGTACCTCAGGTGAATCGCTTGATAGAGCTGATAAACGGACCGCAAGGCTGAAGTCTCAGCATATCAGACGTTCTACGATAGCATCTTAGACAACATCGATCTGGATGGATGACTCTGGTATGAAAAGATAATCTGGATTGAAGCAGACACCATGTACTTCAGCTCAATCAAAACCATCCAGTCACATCAGGGCTAGCTATTCTTGATCAAGGGGCCGCATTGTTACAATCTACTTGTTTACGTGGGAGACAAATCGTCATCCCCATGTGTTGTAGACAATGTGAAAATGCCAATACAGTTCTTACACAGCGTACCTACAAGAGCTTTTAGACGTTAGCGCTACTCCCAGGGCTTTCAGTCGTATACACAGAGTGTCGAGAGTGGCAGATCAGATAAGCCGATTTGACTCATGCGTCCAGCCGGCCCTGCTTGCAGAGAACTCAAAACGAGCCCTCCACTCACAAAGCACTGGAGTCGAGGCCTTCATCCCCTGCGCATGCGTAAACACTTGCAAGAAAGAAGAACGACTTGGCTTAGAGGCGATTGTTGAATGGATAGAACTTAATTTTCATCACATAGGCCTCGAGATGGATGTCGAGTTGAAAAGAAAAAAAATCATCACTTACCATTTCGAGGATTCATTGCGGATGAGACGAGTTGGAAAGATATGGCAATGGAGGCAACACTACAGAGTAGACAGAATGTTAGCGGCTTGAAAAGTAGCGCAGTGAAATAAACATTGACAAAGATGATAGAGTCCGACATCAGAGATCTTGGTATGGTAATTTAGGAGTCATCAATAATGTTCAGTAGCAGAACTGGAAAAAAGGTTTTTCATCATAAAGTCGGTGGGCAGGTTTCTTAAAGAAGAAAAGACAGAAAGAAGAAATTGTGGTGCTTACCATTTGACATCACAGCGAGTATACCGAAGCTCTTACCGAGAGTATCAGCAGGTAGTGTCTCCTAGAACATCAGCGTTAGTCGACTGACGTCTTCAAAGGTACAGCACAGCTGGGGTGAGAAGGCTTGGATCAGATGGTGATGCATGTTTTGTTCTGCGCTCAGGAATCGCGGGAACAGAGTGTGAAAAAATCATCATGAAAGATGGTTGGAGGTTGGTGATTGCGAAGTAGGCAAAACGCCTTCGAATGGTGAGGCAAATACTGCATTGCTTACCTTTGTAGCTGCGGCTGGGGCTGTATATCTCGCTCATCCCTAAAGAATGGCAGCAGCCCCAGCATTCATTGGTGCAAATTCGACACCAGCCACAACATTGCGCGGCGAGTGTGTTTGTTGAACCAAGTGAAGAAGAGTGAAGCAGAGCAAAGAAAAATTTCACAAAGATTTTGTAGTAGCGGAGCTCTGCCGTATCGATATGCAGATACACGGTTAGATTCGCACGCTTAGGTAAATAGCGCCTCGAGCTCTAGAGCTTCTTGCAGATAGGTACGTACCTGAGTTATGCCCTATCGGGGAAAAGGCAGCGCTTCTGCGCTGAAACGAAGAAAATATAGTGGGTCCAGCTCGCTGAGACTCTCACTCCAAGAGAAAAAAGTTCTTTGGGCTGTTGATGCTGTACAGCGAAGAAATAAGACATCATGGCAGATCGAAGACGAGTCAACGGGCCCGGCAGCTCTACCTTGCCGCCAGTCTATGACGATGGCGAATTAAATGCAGCTTCGCGTCGCCAGCGAGCACCTGATGCCATCCGGCCACTCTGTGAGACAAAACCCATCCCAACCATATGCAGCTATATGAGCTATCACGAGAATTTGGAGACTAAGACTTTACGACTAGATCTCAAGACAGGGGTAACACCCTCAGCATCCGGCTCAGCCTATCTCGAGATTGAGCCCAGAGAAGGCGAACACGGCTCAGGCATGAAATTGACGTGCACCGTCCATGGACCCAGATCCCTTCCACGCTCTGCTCCTTTCTCGCCTTACATGGTGCTCTCAACCCATGTCAAGTTTGCTCCATTCGCCACGAAACAGCGCAGAGGCTATCTTCGTGACTCCAGCGAAAAGGATCTCAGCACACACCTGGAAACGGCCCTCCGCGGAGCGCTGATTGCTGACCGGTGGCCCAAGAGTGGCGTCGACATCGTCGTCACGATTATCGAGGGGGAGTCAACTCGGCAAGACGCGGTGGAGCGGCGAGTCGAGGAATGGGACGTGATGAACGTGCTGGGCGGGTGTATTACTGTTGCTTCTGCAGCCATTGCCGATGCAGGTATTGACTGCGTCGACACTGTTTCTGGAGGAGTAGCTGCGCTGGTGGCGAGCAAGGATGGCAACGATGCCTCCATTGTGCTGGACCCTGTTGCGCTGGAGCACGAGTCTGTTATGGCTGCTTGCTGTGTGGCATATCTGCCCAACAGAGATGAAGTCACAAACCTCTGGTTCAAGGGCCAGCTACCCTTGTCTGCTTCATACAATCACCAATCACTAGTTTCAAGGGCGGTGCAGGCGAGCAGAGGAACACATGGGTTGATTTCAGCGTCTTTAAGCGAAGCTATTGGCAGTACTCAAAACTAAGGTACATATCTTGAATAATAATAATGACGATAATAATGATAATGAGTACAATGCATGCATACAAAGTTTCACGAGGTACTCAAACTGGGCATTAACGTCATCTATGTTGATATGTATTGTGAGGCGGCCAACATACTGCATGAATGTAGATGATAATGCTGTTGGGATCAGAAAGGAAACTTAGTATTTCGCTATCAGAGCAATACAAGCCGTCATTTCGTCATTATCCATCTATCTAAACTAACGATTTCGTTCCAAAGAAAAGCATCAACTCTCCCAGTTCCCAACAAAGCATAAAGCTAACCCCCTTTTCGCTGATCATTCTACTCACGTATTATGTCTGTCTGTCATATGCGAGCAAGGTGCGAAGCGCAATCATAGTCCTGTACAACGCTTCACTTCGAAGCTCTACTCAATCGCTGCTCTCTTTCCGGTATACTTCTCTGCAGGCCATCCCTGCATTGTCCACCTTTCTTCCACAACATCACCACCCATAATGAGCGTATGTTCCAAAAGACAGCTATCATCCTTCATCGTGGCACCGCTCAGCAGTCTGCTTCCCGAACGCATCACACACCTGTCTCCAATATTCAGTCTGTTCAGATCAAACTTGCCCCTAGTGTTGATATGAGCCACCACACTAGCATCGTCAATAGCAACTCTGTCTCCTAGCTTGATCAAGTCGGGCTCTGTAAACATCAAGCTGGGATTGCCATTGGCAAAAAGGGCGCAGTCTTTGCCAATCTCAGCGCCCAGTGCTCGGAAATACAAAACGATCCAGTTGGTTCCTGTTAGGAGCCCTATAATACCCTGACTATGAAAGCAGCGCCGTCGAAGCCTCTCGATGCTGAGGAAGATCTGCCATCGTTGACAGTAAGAAGATTTATCCCAGTCATAGTTTCCAGGCATACGGCGACCTATCAGAATCCATTTGCTCGCAATGACAATGAATAGTGCCAAAGCGGCCAACATTGTGAATGCGATAGCCATGCTTGCCCAAGACATGAGGAATAGTACGCCAACATTCAATACATAGCCTATGTCGCGGCGGACGAATCGATTCATCAGGTGGTCAACCACTTGTGCGCATATGACAACTGGGGCATTCCAGTAAAAGGTGGTGAAAATGACGATGAGTGAGGAATAGCAGAAGATGACAAACTGTCCGAGCACGTGGTAAGGCGCTCGTTTGAGATAGAATGCACGTCCAAATGGAGACAAGTCGTCTGTTTCCGTCGTTTCTGACGCACGATCATCTGTTTCGTTTTCAGAGGCCGCAAAGCCCTCCTTTTTCATCTCACCACGCCTCGTTTTTGAAGTGCGCAGCTCGGCGAGCGTTTCCTCACTACTCGAATGAGGAATTCGAACTTGTATGTTACTCTCTTTGGAATCTAAATCCGTCTTATTGCCAGTGAGAGTGTCATCGCTGCGTATATGTCGCATGCGGGTACGGGTACGGGAACGGCTCAATTTCTTTTCATCAACTGCCGTGCTCTGGCCACCTGAGAGATGGACACAGTCGCGGCCTTTTGAGCCCACAAAGACACCACCAGATGCATAAGATGCCCCCCGGCGTGTCAGGGAGCCAGAACCCATAGTAGTTTGACTGCCAACTGTCACGCCGGGGAGTAGACACACTCGATCTGCGATCATAGCACGGTCTTGGACTGTGATCTTCTCGGAACCAGTGCCATCCGACGTAACGAAGCGAGAGCGAGAACCAAATACGACATCGTTTCCGATGTCTATCAGATGGTAATCACCAATACCGGGACCCGTCCCTGGCCAGTAAATTCGCTTGCCTATTCGGCCTCCCAGTAAGCGTAAAGCAATAGATGTTGCTTCGTAATGCTGGCCAAACATGACTGTCATGTCGTGTAGGCGCGAAACTGGCAGCAAGGTCTTCATTAGAGCTGCTCGCCACGTAACAATCGCTCCCTGGTCTCTTGCAGAGGCAATAGTCATCTTTCCAAATACAGCATCCAACAGCAACTTCACAACCAAGGTAAAAGCAAAGAAGATGTACGGACTGGCCATACTTCGCAGGATTAAAGCAAGAGAGTGATATCCCACCCGTGTGGGGGTCGAGAACCAGTCAAGAACACCTCGTACTGGCGAGATATCTGGGGAGGGCATCGTTTCTACCATGCCGAGGATACCACCCAGCCAAGGGAGCAGCGACAGGATCCATACGAAGAATACCAGCGGCACAGTAAATAAGCATGTGAGAAGCACATGCGGTTTTTGCGCTTGGTTAGAAGAAAGGGTCCGGTTCTCCTCGTCAGCATCATCAAGCTCCCAGCTCGACGAATTCGCTCCTATGCAAGCATTGGCAGGAACTACTGCACCAGGGGCTATGATTGATGCTGCACCAACAGACGCATTCTCTCCGATAACAATACGGCCCAAATACATCGACGTATTGCCCTCCACAGCAAATGGACGACACATGCATTGTGAGAGAGTTGCCCCATCTCGGATATCAAGAAGATCCCACTCACCAACTGAGGTGCCGGAGATCTGAACATTCTTGCCAATCTTCGCTCCCATCAGTCGGTAATACATGAGCTTCATGCTTCCATTCATATTGAAGAGTCCCTTTCCACAAAGGCTGACAATCTTCTGGACCATCCACCAGCGCGTGTGGTATGTCCCCCACATGGGATAAAGCCCCTCGCGATAGCGGCCAATGATCAGCCATTTCGCCGCGATGCCAAAAAAGGGACTGACAATTCGAATAACGAATCTTGAGAATACAACCGAAATCACCACATTGAACAGCCGACCCAGCGTATGGTGATTTGTTGGCCAGCTTTCCACGTAGCCCAAAGCAACAATAAAGGCGGTCCATTGAATTGCACGACGCAGAGGATAGATAACGGTGAGCGGAATCAGCTGAAGAAACATCACGAAGGGGTTTGTCGAGCTGTAAGTCTTTGAACAGCCAACTTTGTTATCAGTGACTGCATTAGCCGGTTGAAGTTCTATTGTTTTGTCGACAAAAGTAGCAATAGCAGAAACAGTCCCTTGGTTGAAGACAAGCTGGATGGGAATCTGGATAGCGAACGCAGACCGTAAGGCTGATACCAGACGCCCTGCTTTAAGAGAATCTCCACCGAGAGTGAAAAAATCAACGTTGGGTACTATGTCCCGTGGGTCTCTGGAAAGAACATCTGCAAAAATCTTTTTGACTTTTCCTTCAGTAGACGCCTCAAGCACCTGCAAAGAATCAATGTCCATTTCTGCAAGTAGCCGATCCAGCTCGTCATTATCGACGGCGCCAGAAGGATCGAGTGGCAGGGGATCTGGCAGCAGGTATACGTGTTCGGGCACCAAATATCCGTGAATGGTTCTGGATAGCTGTGCTTTCAATGCATCTGGCTGCTGATTCAGTGCCCCTGAATGTCCTTCAATCGGGCTAATAAAAGCTTGCAATGACCCCCTAGTGTGATTCTGTTTGCAGTAGTGCCTAAAATTGCCAGGAACAATGGCGTCCAAGCCAGCAGACAAGGTACTATAGTCAATAGCACATTGTAATGTCTTGATTGTAATTGAGAGGTCGGTGTCGGGAGGCGGACATGTAGCCTCCCAGTGCCTGTTCAGATAAGATGTGTCATCTGTTAATTCTGGTATCCCACATCTCTGGCCTAGTCTGATTCTCAAGACTTTGTTGTTCTTCTTTGGAACATCATTCATATAGATGATGAGAACTGGCCATTTGACTTGCTGTAATGACAAACGCAAAGCGGTCTGTAGCATTTTCAGATCGACGCGAGGGGTATTTGCAGGGGTTACCAACACCACTGCAACGACTTCTTGCAGCACATCGTGAGGCACCGAAAAGGCAAGAGTTTGGAGAATACGTCCATGGAGAGGCGACTCCGGGGACATGGATAAGCGCATAATGGCATTTTCCACCTCGAAGGGCGAGATGAGCTCACCACCTCGGTTTATAACTTCCTTGCTCCTTCCAGTGATGTAAAGGTAACCGTCTTTATCCATGTAACCAAGATCACCTGTGTCAAACCAGCCGTTTGAGTTGAATGGCGACTTGTCAAGAGTTCCGTCTGGTTTGAGGTATCCGGGAAACACAGGCGCACCGCGCACGCAGATCCTCCCTATATCGCCCAATGGGACAGGATCATCCGACCAATCCAATATGGAAAGCTCTGGCCCTACGCTGACGCCTGATGTACCTTCTCTGTCCAGCTCGTAATTAAGTGGCGGCGTTGATATTGGCATGCATCTGTTAATATGTCAGTACGATTGATTAATATAGATTGACATCACATCTCTTACTCGGTCATTCCATAGCTTGGAAGCACAACGCATTTGAATGTATCTCGAAGTTTGCATGCCAACGACGGCAGGAGACCTCCAGCAGCATTACATGCCAATCTAATGCAGCTCTGTTTCAAGGCCACTTGACGGTCCGAAGCAGCGGCCAAAATAACAGAGTGCATTGATGGAGATGCATAATACCACGTAACGGGAGTTTCTTGGACTATATCCCAGAATAAGCCGGGATCAAATGCTGCACAGCATACTGTCGATCCACCTGCGAAGATAGGAGCAAAGATGTTCCTTACCAATCCTCCACTGCCATAGATGTTAGCCAAGGCTATCTCACGCGTGCTCCTCTCCTGTTACACTTACACATGGTACAATGGCATCATGTTCAGACATATATCCGAAGCAGTCAGACCCCATGACTCTACAACGAAGCTAATGCCAGCGATAATAGAATGCATTGTCATGGGAACAACTTTCTTTGTACCGGATGTGCCACTTGTAAAAAGTATCAATCCAAAATCATCTGGTCCATTGTGAGGAGGATTCTGGCTCGGCTGCGAAACTGCAATGCCGTCAAGGTCTTGGATTTCGATCTTGTCGTTATTGTCCCACTTGACCACGAAGACTTGAATTCCTGCTGAGGCGACCCAGGGATCCCCTAATTCTAGTCTTTCATAGTCGTCTCTCGTCGTTAAGATGAACTTGGCACCAGCTTGTTGCACATCTGCGCGGAATTGCTCCGCGCCAGCAGCAGGATTGATTGGCGCAGAGGTATAATATGTTGTAACCGCGATACAGGTCGCAGCAAGCAACGGACCATTGGGCAAAGCTATTGCGACAATCGGCTTGCGAGTCAACTTCCCAGATGGAAGTCGAAAACTATCAACAAATCTTCGTAGCCCATTGTGGGTTATATAGGTTCCTGGCGTTGATGATCTCAGAGCTGGCCTTGAGTCGTAAGATATGAAAGACGCAAACGATTCATAAGATTGTTTAACCATTTCCGAAGTGTCATGAATAATTTGTGTTGCTCTCTTGTCTTTATAAGACCTGGCATCTTCTGGCATTAAGTGATATAGTCTTGTGAAGCATTTGACTAGAGGGAACGTCGGCCATGATCCCGGTAACTCGGTCAATAGTACACGAAGCAACGCCAGTGGTCGAGAGGAAAGATGCGGCGTGTCTGGAATCGCCTCCAAAATCCGTTCCTTATCAACGCCCGAACCTAGAAGACGTCGAAATCCTTCACTTGTGCTAATTTCAGATATCGGCAGGGAGTACAGGCTCTCAAGCAAGACTGAAAGTCCTGGGGGAGAATGAGGAGAGTCCATCTCGAGTTGAGGTTTTCTTTACCAACCAAAATCAGCTGTTGTGCCGCACAATTGCGTTGAGCGATTGGTTAGGAGTCGTTTACGCAGGGCTGCCACTTATAGAAAACACATTAGAAAAGACTTTTGAAGCAGCGGGGACCCAAATATCATATACATAGAGGGCATTGGCGATCGAGCGATGACAATTGAGATAGATATTCAGCTGGACGGGCGATCAATTGAAGATCATAATGGTCGTTGGGGAGGCTACACATACCAGTTGCAGCATGGGATTTTCCCTCTCTTTATAATGTCATGGCCATTCGAAAGAATGGGATGTGAGACACCACGATGGAAGTCATACACTTAGGGCCGATCCTGATTCCGAAGATTGGGAACTTCCAAATTGATGATGACTTCATCAATTGATAAGATACTAACAGGAAGCAGGGCTGACGATATTCAGGGCTTCGTGTTCATGGGTCAATGGTCTCCAAGCTTTCTTGTTACAGAGTCGGCTATGTCCGAAGCTTCATATCCAGGGTTGATCGTCGAAAATTCCAGTGACTATAAACAAGGAACTTCATTAACAAAAGGCGGCTATCAGTCTTGGTTATTGCAACTCACCATCGTAAGATGCCTACCTAGGATGGTGGCTGTCGTCTATCGGATTGTAGAAGAATACGATATGTCTGTGAGATGATGGTTTGGCAAGTTCTGGCAGGAAAAGCTGCCGATCCTGGTGACTAGGAGTCTTGATTTGATGATGCGATTTGTCGACTAGCTAAATACCTGGCCGCACAGAATGAAATGATAAGACATGTCTAGGACCAAAAGTGCGATGCCTCGTTGTCAAAATCTGCTTGGAGGGTTATCAGCAGTTGGATCATCGTCGACTGGTTTTTCGCGCCTTCTGCGCGATGGGAAGTGATTATGTACCTCTTTATCAAACTGACGCATTGGATTTCGGAAAGCATATAGGCCTTTTGAGCATGAGGCAGGATTTCTGCCCATACTATTGCCATGGTAGGCGCACTGAGACCTCTTGGGATTCGTATACTTGGGTCGTAAAGCACTTATAACCAAGCTAAGGAAGCCCGCCTGGACTGTCGGAACGCAAATCTACACTTGCCAGGCCGTCCGAAGATGTGGCCACGAAATCCTTGATTCGTTAGGGAATGCTTGATAGTGACAAGTCGCCGAGTGGGTGGCAGCCCGGGGCTCTCATGCTTGTTCCGCCAAATTCTGTTTCCCGACTGCGCCGGCGATCCATACCAGTTGCTGCAAATGGGGGACAATAGCTACCCAAGCCTCGCCCCTTGAAACTAAGACCAATATGTGATCCATCCAGAGACGCACGAGGAGAGCATGTGGGGAGGGATTGATTAACACGGGTAATTTTTGCCGTAGGGTTGGTTGGCAGCTCTTCCCGATACGACCCCTCGGGCAGACGCGAAAAAAAGAGGGAGGGATGCATTCCTTGTCCATGACTTGTCTTGAAAGGCGACAAGAAAAGAGCTGGCGACTGCATTTTTTTCCATATTCATGATTTCCCATTCCTGGTTTCTTTGTCGAGCGCCAACGCAAATCGATTGCAGAAGCAAAATTGATCGCAGAGGCAGGAAAAGGAGAAAGGGCACAACTGCACGTGCCCTTGAAGCTCTCGGCACTTAACCGAGGACATACGAGATGCAACTCCACGGAGCAGTGCCTATTTTTGCAAGGCGAGATGCACCAAGAATGGTTCCACGGGCTGAAGATATTTCTGCAAGCCGAGATAGAAAAGAAAAATGGCTGCGTTGGGGGGGGGGGCATTTCTGCACACCGAGATGCAACTCTACGGGTCAGTATTTCTGTAAGCCGAGATAGAACGAAAATGACTACATGTAATGTATGCTAGAAAGCTTCTCGTAGCTATGTAGCAAGGGCCCTTTACTACCTTATTAACGTAAGACATTGCTTTTTATGAGCTGTCCAACTTGGGCTGTGGGTAATGCCCAATTGAAAGGAAGAAGGCATAATGTTCACATTGTAGAAAAAAAAACTCATTTGGACTGAGTTGATCCGTGCTCGTAGCTGCGTTTCCTTCAATGTTCGTGTTCTCCAGGCGAAGTGGGCCTGTATTGTGATGCAGGCTGGCCTCAATAGCATCCATAACGGCTCTTCATCCTTGAATGTTTTCTTATTCCATTATTTGGAGGGCTAAAGATAAGTGCAAACACGTATACATACTAATAAGCGGCGTAGATTCAATCATCGATTTAATTCAAAATACAAATCGTTCTAGCATCTTTTACCAAGCTTAATATGTAGAAACTGTTGCACGAGTCCTCACGTGACCTATGCAAGGTGCCTGTCCGTTTGCAACACCATGACACTGATTCTTTCTTTCATTCAAGCCCTTAGGGCTTGCCTCTCTTTTAGCTAGATTTATATCATCTTTTTTGACGCTCTTGATGTTCTTGAGCACTTTTCAGGAACTAACCTCAAGTACTGTAGGCAAACAAGTGGCTGCAAGGCTTTGTTAAATTACCAAGTGGGGCTACATGTAATTTACAGTATATCCACGGGGAGATTGAAAATCTGCCCGTCGGTCAAAAAAAATAGCAAGTAAGAATAGACTGGGCTTGTTATTGATTTTTGTTCAATAGTGTAGCAACGTATGTATTTCTGCCTGATAACTCAGTTGCGCAGCAGATCGGCGTCAAGCACGAGGCCGATGCTGCCAGTTCGAACAACAAAGCGAGCTGCAGTTGAGTCAGCGCGGTCCGGTATCAGGAGAAATCTTCCCCGTCTGTAAGCAAGCAGGTTTGTAATCTGTTGACTACATGTAATTGCCTACTGTAGCCTGTAACTGAAGTTTGGACGGCAGCGGAGATATATAGTGCTAGCAGCTGAGCGAGAGTCTGTCATGTGCGAATCTAAAAGTTGTATAAGAGTCAGGCATTTCCCATGATACTTATACAAAGACTACTATCTTTTCGCAAAGCATTGTTTTACCTTTTGTATTGACCTACCTAACCGAGATCTTGACAAATGGCGGCCTTTAAAGGAGAAGGCCGCGGAGTCTTGCTACAGACTAACCCACGCAACCAAAATTCAATTATATCCCGTGTCGAAGATGGTATACTGGAAAAGAATAATAATGAAGCGAACATACAGCACCCCAGAGATGGTATTTCAACATGGAAATGGGCCTTAACCTGCGTAGGCCTTTATTTGGGGGCTTTGCTTTATGGTCTGCTACACTGTACTAACAAAGATGGCAACTCGCACGCTAACACCAGCATAACGCAGGTCTCGACACAACAATTGCAGCCGATGTTCAAGGTTCAGTTTACGAGGCGCTCGGTGAGATCCAGAACCTGCAATGGGTTGGGCTGGGCTTCCCAATGGCGTCCGTTGCTGTAATCCTTTTGATGGGCCGGCTATATAGTATGTTTAACATCAAATGGCTCATGATAATAACTACCGCTATTTTTGAGATCGGAAGTGCCATTTGCGGCGCCGCTCCAACCTCAGATGCTCTAATCATTGGCCGGGTTATTGCTGGAATTGGTGGATCTGGCATGTACCTTGGGTCAGTGTTTAGCCACTTCTAGAGCTGTGATATACATGTTGGCTAATTTGGAGATAGAGCTTTGAGTTACTTCTCAGTTTTTACGACTAATAAGGAGGCGAGTCTATATAACGCCGGCATTGGTCTCGCATGGGGTTTCGGCTCAATTCTTGGACCTGTTATAGGTGGTGCTTTTTCTGACAGCAGTGCAACATGGCGTTGGGTAAGAATCAAGAAGAGCCTACAATCTTTTGAGAAAGTATCAAGCTGATAAGCCCACACATAGGCCTTTTACATTAACCTCCCCCTGGCCGCTCTTATGTCGCCTGTGTACCTGTTTATTTTCCCGTCCTTCCGTCCCAGCAGGGATCAGACAATGTTGCAGTCTCTCAAATCCATCGATTCGGTGGGCGCCATATTGAATGCAGTCGTGTTTGTTCTGTTCATGCTCGTCCTCACCTTTGGCGGAGCTACGTGGGCTTGGGGCTCAGGACCAACCATTGCAGTATGGGTGGTATGGGGGGTGTCGTTGACGCTGTTTATCCTCCAACAGGCATTTTTTATTTTCACTGACGCGGAAACGAGGCTATTTCCATTACACCTACTTAAAAGCAGAGCGTTGGCGCTTGTATGTGTTGGTACAGCTACCTCGGCCACTGCTGTTGCTGTTACGATATACTACGTCCCGCTCCTGTTCCAGGTTACCCGCAATGACTCTGCCCTTCAAGCCGCGGTGCGCCTGTTACCTTTTATTGTATTTTTCATCTTCTTTGTCATGGTGGCTGGTGGCTCCCTTCCTGTAGTACAGCGCTACAATCTCTATTACATCCTAGGTGGAGCCCTCGTTGTTACCGGGGGCGCCTTGCTATTCACTATTACGCCTGAGACTAGCGTGGCCCGCATCTATGGTTACGAGATCCTTGTGGCTGCCGGCGCCGGTCTTCCTTTTCAAAATGGCTATGCCATCGCTGCCTCAAAGGTCGCCAAGCAAGATCGCGCCTCAGCGATCGGGCTAATCAACGTCGCGCAGATTGGCTTCATGGCCTTATCGCTTGCCGCTGCAGGGGCCCTGTTCCAGAATCTAGGGTATCAGTCCCTAAGGGACGCGTTGGCGGATTTTCACTTCCCGGATGATTACGTACGGTCGGCACTGGCAGGAAAGATCTCGCCTATTTTCAAGTCCGCTGATTCGGACGTTGTCGATGTTGCCGTTCGCGCCATTTTCAGTACTATTCGACGAGTGTTTGGAATGTTGGTTGGAACCGGAGCGGTGCTCCTCGTCGGTGGCTTGCTGATGCCTTGGGAGAAAGTCGACTTTGCTCCAGCTGCTGAAGATTAGAGACAAGGCGCGGTTACAAAAAACGGTACTTCTAGTAGCGTGTGTGGTAATAGCACGTTGTGAGGAAACAGAGTGGAATACTTATGTGTAACTGCCCGTGCTGAAGTCCTAATTACGTGAGATATAGATATAGTATTACTAAAATTGGATTTGATATTGTTGGCGTACACATGGCATGAATTGATCGCTCTCAGGCGTAACAATACATAGTTGTAATTTGGATTAACATAACTGAAGTTTGATGACTACAAGATGGGCTCCAAAAGTAGTGCACCGCAATAGACGCCATTGAAGATTGTACATTTAAAAAGTCCAAAATGTACAAATTATGAGTGTAAGGCTAGTTCTTGTTTGGATCACAATGCCCGACCAAGTTACCAGAGAGCAAGAAGTAGACTGCCGTGGAATAGTCTAGACCGCCTGAGTTGGCCGAAAGCAGTCTTGATATTGAGATTTTCGATTTCGCTGTCCATAATACAATACAATAGTCAAATGTATATTCATATGGTATACGTCACAAATCAACCCGTAACATGAGATTGGGTCGGTAATGTGGGTATAGGAAGTCGATGAAGTTGGCGAGCGTCCCTGCCTTCGCTGCTTAAAATTAACGCCTCCAGTGAACAATCAACCCTACCTTCCTGCAGGGGAAACAATAGAAGGGGCTACGGCGCTTTCCTCAGGCTTTCCTCAGGCCCACTCTTTCAGCTTGATCAAATTCTGAGGAAACTTATCTACCGTAGTGAAGCGTGGGGTACGGAACCCCACGGCTTAATCAATGACCCGCTTTAGCTCCAGGAACTTCCCGACCCCTGTTGCAAATCGGGCTGATTATTGAGATTACCGGCTTGCTTATCCCGTCTCAGCTGTACGGCTGAGCTGGACTAATAATCAGGATTGTGCTGTAGTGGCGTTCAATTAGACTCTACGCTATTTCATGGAGTATGTCAATGTATTGTCATCCAAGATCGAATGCGTAGTGTCGCTACGCAAAAGTACTAATCAATAACGACCTTTGCCAGCTGCAAGTTGAAGTCTAGTTCCTTGGATAGTTGCGACTTTAGACCAGATACGTAAGGCACACTTTGTCCGGATCCTCACCTACTTTCGCATTCGGGCAAAGGTTGAGCATAACAGCTATGGATAATGCCGAATAGTCAGGGGAGTTCGGGGATAAGGTGGATGGATACATTAACACTAGCAAGGTCAAAACCCCTCGCTTCGATATTCATACCTAGTCCCTCATAGTACATATCAACGGGGATGTGGTTAATTTGCTAGGTGAGCTTAGCTGGACAGCAATCCAGCCGATCGGTGTGCTTCAAGTTATGTAATCGAGATGGCTACCAAATCCTGCACCATGTTTGATGACAAATTAAGAAATGTGTTACCGGCTTGTGCTTGCAGACTCAAAATTCTCAAGGACATGTTCTCTTCTGTCTAGAAGCAGAACAAAGCTTTGGAAGACGCTCTCGTAAGGGCTTGCGGATCGCCCAACATCTTTCTTCGGCGACCAAATGGATCCGCATAACCTGCCTGCGGGGAATTCTCGCAATAGGAGAGGTCGGCCGCGTCGTGACGGAGACGGCGTACGCGAGGCAATCAAGGTCAGCGCTGCCACAAAGCTTGAGAGGGCGTCCATGGGGCTTGCTCGAAATGAAGGTCACTAAGTTGGTTGCAGGTACGACGAGAGCAAAACCGTATAGCGCAGCAGACTTTTAAGGCTCGAAGGCTCGCAGCTCAAGCTGAAACCGAAAATCGCATCGCTCACCTTGAAAAAACCATAGAGAGCATAGTCGAGCTGTTTTTAGAAATGACAGATAACGTTATGAGTTTTGCCTCAGTTCGGCAGCACTCAGACCTATCTCGACACATCCGGGACTCGATAATCCAATGCCTGTCGTTAGTGCGTGGCAGTATTACCGTTACCGTTGATTGTGAAGGAGACAAATCCGAAAAATCTTGCACGGATCTAGTGAGCAGCCAGACGCAAGATTGGTCCCATCACGTAGCAGTGCCATCGACGGCTCGCTCCGATCAGATTGCGATAATCTCGGACTTTTATGCCCCTTTTCTGAAAGATGGCAATAACCCTAGAAAAGCAGAGACGCCTGCTGCGGCTTCAGAACCGGTCCTTGGCAGGTGTTTAGACGCAGAGCACCCGCTCAGCTCCGGAGTCTCCAATCCATTCGATCCCAGTCGAATTTATGAGTTTATACGTCCGGCTTATCCACTACAATCGATAAACCTTTACTCAAAATACTCGCGAAGCTCTGTTAGCATCGAGCTAATTCGTTGTACACTAAACTTTGCTTATAATGTTCTGCATAACGCGGTGGATTTATCGACCGGTTTGGTGGCAAACATGTTCGGGCTGTCTCTTCAATCACACTCTAAAGAACAGCTTTTAAGCAAACTTCTTTGGTCGTTAGGACCAGGGTCCACGATCTTGGGAGAATTCGCCAGTTTTGACACCACCATCAGCTCTCAAGAGTCTGAGACAGGCGAACAGATTCCGGCGTTTGATATTATCAATTATAGCAGGGACCCATCCCTCATCAATGCGGAAGGTGTTGTCATTTGGTTGGACTCCATTGGAGTCCGGAGAATTGATGAAGATACACTGGAGGTCCCAATATGGGATCAAGCCACGCCCCCGGATGTCGGAGGCGTGGTCCCAGGACTTTTCCCGGGCCGATACTCCTTCTTGAATGCAGATGTTTTTTTCTCACCAACGCGAAGCCCAATTAGAAAGGGGAAAGCGGAAATGACAAGAAGTTCAAAAACTTCTACGGCTGCATGCACCACTCGCATATCTCAGTCGGCCTTGTTCCGTTATTTGTCCGAAGTGTCTGTTTGTTTGAATTCAGGCGTTGCTTATCACCGACAGCATCTCGTTAGACTAGTCATGGCATCGCAGGTGTGTTGAAAATTTACTGCTTCTTATTTTCTTATCATGGTACATATTTGTGAGACCGTGTGCACAATAGGTCTGTAAATCTTGCTATTACAAGGACGCCTTCTGTCGTGCCTCGCAAAGGATTTAATACCTCCAACTAGCAGAGAACATGATGGCGTAGGAATACATCAATTCAGACTCTCTCTTAAAGAGCACCTTCATATTATCGTCGCCAATACGACAGTCGCAGAAATGGCAAATCCAATAAATGCAAGTGTACCATACCGCGATCAGGGGATCCAGACTAAGTTGTTAGAGTTAACTGATATGACACCCCTGAGCACTGTTACGAACTGATCCCTCGTAAACATTTAATTCCCTTATAGGGAGCTCGTTTCGTTACAGTAACTGCTACAATAGTGGTTATTGGTCTACTCTTTTGCCTTGTTGGATCCAATGGTTGTGGCTCATATCTGAAAAGGTGAATTGTATTCTCTACCCCACCAACTCAGTATCGACCGAAACAGCATTGAGTATCTGATGATTGAAATAATAAAGTATATATGTAAGTAGTGCTTGAAAATAGAGCGCAGAGCCAGGTCAAGAGTGCTGCAGCAGACATGTTTAAGCAGATTAGACAGCTTATTGCCTATAAAACTAGTTCTTGCTGGTCCTACCGACTTTCGTCCATCTATTTTACCTCTTCTCCCACATCGACTTGTTTTGCTCCACGAATTGTTCCAAGCTCTGCGATGGGTGGCCGATAATCTTCTCGAACCAATCGTTAGTACCAGCCAAAAGTCCATCACGATGCATTCCGGCCGCTGCGTTGAAATGTTGCTCCAGGTAGGGGATTTCAATGCCCGTAAAAGACTGAATTAATACACCAGCACCGACTTCTTCGTAGCGAATTTCTCTTCCAAGGTGCTTTGACAGAACATTGGCAATCTCGGGCGGTGTCAACTCTGTAGCGCCGAAGAGAGGATATGTCTGTCCTGCATGGCCGGCAGGGTTCTCAAGCAGCGTAGCGATCAACTCTCCAAGATCCTCGGTGGAGACTGAGGCAAATTTGCCAGATGGGCCAAAGGGAACAGCAAAACGATCTTCTTCCCTGATCATTTTCCCAGCGAAAAGAAGCCATCCATGGAATGTAGTTGGTCGCAAGTGCGTGACGGGTGTGTCAGCCCAATCGAAAACTCGCTCCGCAAGCCAGTGGTTAAGAGCAGCATTGCTAGGGGCGTCTGCTCTCGCTGTGATCTGGGACATGTTGACGATGTATTCGGCTTTGGCTTCTGTAGCTGACTGAGCAAAAATGGCACTGGCATCGATGAGTCCTGGTCGTACAGGGTACACAAAGTAAGCTCTCTTGACGCCTTCGAATGCACGTCGGACTGAGCGCAAATCAAGGAGATCCCCAACGACGACCTCGGCGCCTTGAGCTTCAAGCTGGCGCGATTGATCGTCCTCCTTGTGAACAAACGCACGCACAGCAAGACCTTTCTGCAACAAATGCTTGATTGTAGCGCGTCCCGTGGACCCTGTGGCGCCAGTGACGAGAATTGGGGCCATTGTGGAATAAATTGGTTATAGTAATATATGACTTCACGAAGCTGCGAGTTGACGTTCAGAAGTAATTGTAACTTTTTTCGCAGCTTATTGTAAGACGCTGATAGATTATAATAAGAATCTCTTGATCTGATGCCATGTCCCTGACGTTATATTTATACAACACACACATGTATGCGATAACATGAGCGCATCACGACCTGGCTCTAGCCTTGACGATTTGGGAAACCCTTGGTAATCTGTTTTACCTGATTTGGTGATTAGTATTCCTCGCTGCTACTAGAGACATTTTGGCCAGAGCTTGAAACTGGTTGGGGTGGCAGGACTCATCCATAGGTAGTAATCACTCAATTTCAGCCTTGGGTAGCTGCGAGAGGCCGTAGAATTCCTTCCGAAACGTGGGTCTTTGGAAGATATTTGCATCAGTAATCTGTTGGACCCATAGAGGGTCACTTGAGGATGCCGAAGCGGACCAAAGCAACCCGCGTCAGATACAGTTATTGTTTCATGATTATCAATATATACAGCAGCCTTGAATATCTTTGAAAGACGATATGAGCACCGTGTCGGAATTTGGTTGTTTAGTAATTATGGCATATGGTTCAGTAATCTTAAATAAAGCCACATATTTCTCCTGGCGAACTAAGTATATGGACTGCAGGTTCTATGGATTCGTAAATGTACTGCTGCCTTAAAATTGGTAGGCAATGATGTTCCGTATTGGGTCGAAAGAGATACAGTAGTTACGCCGACGGCGCAAGCGTAGCAACTACGAGATACCCAAGATAGGTACCTAGGTACCTTGCCATTGCGAAGATTTCTAGAGACAGGTAAGGTAGGTAAGTAGGTAGGTAGGTACATATAGTATTTAGCTAATATTGTGCCCGCTATCACTTATTTTCGGCAGTTTCTTCTACATCACTGTAAATTTTTCAAGATGCCAATTTAAATTCCCCACGTGGACTTGGGTAATGCGGACAAGTAACCCTCGTTGCTAGTGGCAAAGATTTCTTCCCTCTGCCCTATGGCATTTCTCTATTATAAAACAAGAATCAATGATGATGTAACGCGATGTGTTAACTTTTGAGAGTCACAGATCAGTGTTGTACAAGGGAGTGAAGGGGTGCAACGAGTTAGATTACTGTCGAATGGCAGAAAGTTCTCATTAGGATGCTGTAAAAGGCTGCATTCTCTCCGGCCTCCTATTTGTTGCTTATTCCTAGTACCTGTATCAAGGTGTCATCTAGATTCTCCTTGGCTAGCTCTAAAATAGCATTCCATTTTTCGGCACGAGCACCAAACGTGTTATAACCCCAAGGCGCATAACAAGAGGCCGATACAGTTTCAATGTATCCTTGTAACCACTCGCCACGCTTGATGCGTGCTTCACCCTTTGCTGCAAGATCGTCCGTGGAAGCTTGGGTTACTTCAAATTTTCTGCCAGAAAGTCGCTCAAGAGCTGCCAATACTTCATTTTGAGTTAACCGCGGGAACGAACTGACGTAAACATTTTGGTTCTTGGTATCATCTGCATGCGTGAGCACAGAAGCAATAGCCTCCGCAACGGTCTTTATGTTGGTGCAGCTGAATTCTTGATCACCAGAATCGAACATGGTAACTTTAAACGACTCAAGATCCCAGCCCATTACACCCATGCCAAGATTCATTTCTCGCGCAGACTGGGTAAGCATCTACAAGAGATGGATCAGCCTCTAATAACCCCAAAGTCCCTGGAGAGGGACGGGGGCGGTTTTGGGAACAATGAGAATAGTTATAGCATACCCAGTCGAAGAACGGGCCAGTAAAAACCCTTGTCCAAGTAAGGCCCGCTGATTCTTTCCCTACGAGATAGTCCCCAAATTCCTTTTTCCCAGCAGTAAATGAGATCCGTTTCTCAATATCAGGCAATGTTGTGTCGCCACCATATTCGCTAGGTAGAAAGCGCTTTACGCCGGCACGGATACAGGCATCAACTACAGTCTTTTGATCTGCAACTCGTGTTCGAGGAATGCAGGAAATCACTGCGTCCTGCCCTTGGAAAATTGAAGCAAGAGAATCTTTCGAGTAGTCGGTTTTATAGACTGTCACTGACGCAGCGTAAGCCGTTGCTGAGGATTGCCGAACAGCCACTGAAACCTTGAAGCCGGTGCTGATAAGAGCCGAGACAACAAGAACGCCTAGATTTCCAGAGCCCTACACGGAAAGAAAATAAAAATTAGATATAAAGATCTGTGGTCAATTGTACTTTGTGCCACAAACTTACTCCGAGTACAACCACTGTTTCGATTTTGCTGGACATTATGAAGGGAATGTATGAGAAGACAACTTAATTTACTCATGAGGTATGCATTGATGTGTGAAAGGAGTGAAGCGCTTCTGGAGATAACATGACTTTATACATTTCGCTTTCTGACAAAATGGCACAGCTTGATAACTACTGCATCAATAATAGCAACAAGTTCGTATTTTAACTTGATTAGTTTTCCGGTTATTATCTAGCTTATTCATGGATCAATATTCCAAATCATGATTTGGAACTTGATTATTAATCGTTCCTTTCATATAGTTACTTTGAATCAGATAATAACCAATCAAACCATCTCTGAACTAGATATTACACCTTTGACCTTGTCATTCGTACTTTCCTGTATTTTTGATCTCAATGACTATAGAGAATGGGGCACATTCGGTGGATTCTTAGACTCAGGAACAACACGGCTAAACATCTGAATATAGAATGCAGCCCCTTGCATATTCCAGTCAATCGACAAGCTTTTTAGACAATACTTTGGGCTACAGGCGCGGGGTTTTCTCTCTCTCTCTATATATATATATAGTAACACTTACGTGCTCATAAAAATAACTATTGATTTAAATGTCTGCTAAGAATTGCTTGGTGTGGAAAAATATCCAGTTCTAAGTTAGCAGAAACCTGCCTTATCCTCAATGTAGCCTCGCCTGATTGCGCAATGCGCACGCGAAAGTATAAGCTTTTGGTATCAGCCACAGCGCGCCGCAGAAATGATCCATGCGGAGAGATACTTAGATTAAGAAAAGCGGACACTCATTTCGGTTTCTACTGTATGCCTACTTGCTGCAGTTCTTATAGGCTGTGATTTCATGTGTAGTCACAATATACAACTAACTTCTTGTCCATTCACAAATAAAAAAGAAAGAAAGAAAGAAAGAAAGAAAGAAAACTAAGCTTTAGCCAAGCTTTATTAGTTCCCGCTTTAAGCCAATCACGTTGAATGATCAATCTCAGTACTATCGCCGCTGAGTTTATTTATACTAGCCAGGCAGCTTGCTATTCTTATTTCAATTCGGAGTGAACTAGGAAAAGGATTTTATCTCACAATTAGATGGGAATTTGCTGCGCAGCCCCGGAGCAAAACAACAGGGTGCTAACTACCTATACATAGGGTTCATCAGAAATAGAAGTGAACTCGCAATTATACAGATAGTAGTAGCATCGTTTCTACTTTATGTATAGGTGTTCATTGTGCAGATAGTTTTTCTTTTCCTGTTCATGTTGGAGTTGCTTGTAATTGCTTGCAAATACTTACAGCAGCCGTCAAGACGTACCCTAGAACTCCGCTACGTTATAGATGTAATATGTTTTATTAATTGATCGTTTTTCTTTGTGACTTATGGTATCTTTGCACTATCTAACAGTGGAAACACACAATCATATTATCAATATTGCAGAAGCTCTACTCGTATATTGCTTTTGATCTGCCGCATCGGGTATTGCAGCTACATGTACTCATATGGATGGCTTGATCAGAGTGTTTAGCCTCAGTATATAGGTGCCCTTTTTTCAGCTGGCAGGAAATCTAGATAGATAGCCCCAAAGCAAGGTAACAATGTCTTTCGAACAAAGGCATTGATATAAAAATACACCTAGCTCTTACAGCTCACGAGATCAAGTTCTGAGGATCTGGCAATCCGGGTACGTAGGAGGGAGGTAGTGGTTTAGGAGGCTTAGTCATCTATATCCTTTCTTAGATTAGCGTCTCTTTCACAAGCATTACTTCTCGTAGCTATGATTATTATTTTCCTGACATTACAGAGTTTATACTCAGCTTTTGTGATTGCTTGGAGATTTCTTTTCGAATAAAAAATAAAGAATCAAAAAGTAAAACAAACTTGAAAAATATCTTCCTACATGATATAAAGTCTAATTGTTTTTCATCAGTTGTACTGCCAGCTTAGGTACTTTTACAAGTGGCGCAAAATCCCAAGCTCGTGTTTGGCGTTCTAGGTTGGCGCTATCCCTCTGAATGCGATCCAGGATCTCCCATACTGATTGATGGCTTCTTCACCAACACTAGGCTTTCAAGATGGCGTCCGATATGCCCATAACTACGTACGTGTCATTGCACCCGCGACGCGTCGTACATGGCAATAAGCTGATCTTTTCGTAGGGTATATGTTCAAAACCTAGAAGAACGGGTGAAACCTGAAGTGCTGTCGGGAGCATTGAAGACCATTTTCTCCGAGTTTGGGAATGTAATTGATATCGTGGCCAAGAGAAACCTCAAGGCAAAGGGACAAGCATTTATCGTGTTTGATCAACCCAGCGCCGCTCAAAATGCCATTGAAGAGGTCGAAGGATTCGAGCTCTTTGGCAAGCCCTTGAGAGTTGCGATGGCCCGGATGCAGAGCGATAAAACCGTCGAGATCAACTGCAGCAAGGATGAATTCGAGACTCACAAGCGGCATAGGCAGGCAGAAAAGGGTAAGAACTGCTTGAACAATCGAATTGGTCTCCTCAGCACTAATCGTCCCTCAGATAAACGCAAGGCGCTCGAGGCAGCCGACGAACAAAGGCAGCTCAAGAGAGCTGCCGGTGCCGCAGCCGAAGCTCGACCATCGAAATCAGCGAAGCCGTCGGGCTTGAAGTCCACCAGCGCCCCAGCATCAGCTGTCGTGCCAGACGAATACCTGCCACCGAACAAGATTCTCTTCATCCAGAATGTCCCCGAAGAATATGACATTGACGGCCTCAACGCGATCTTTGGCCGGTTTGATGGGTTCCGAGAAATTAGATTGGTTCCAGGTCGACGCGGAATTGCGTTTGTTGAGTACCAGAATGAACAAGGCGCTATTACAGCGAAGGAGAATACTGCTGGAATGCTGTTAGCAGATAAACCTATCAAGGTTACCTACCAGCGTCAATAAGACGTTATTATCACTGACGTAATGGGAGGTGCATTTTGGTGTTTCGGTATATACTTCTGTATTATGGCAATGTTCGCAGTCTACAATTACAAGGGCAAAGAAATTATCAACGGGCCTTTGCTATAAGTTATGTCCTTGTGCGCTTAAAAAATCACGTCGTCATCGTCCTCTGCGGCCAATATATCTGTTGGGCCTGAATCATCTGCCGCAGCACCAGTATCATTCTTCGCGGCGGCTTCCCTCTTCGCCTTCATCTCGGCATCAGCAGCAGCAGTATCTCGCTGCTTCTTGTTGGCGACCTAAACAAATAGAGAATTTCAGTATTCGCTGCAGAGAGAAGAAGCCATGTATAGGTCCTCTAACCTTTTTCAAGCGGTAAAACTCTTCACGGTCCAGCTCGTCCAGTTCGGAGTTGATATATTTGATGGTATTCTCGGTTCGGGGAATGATAACGTGCTCAATTGCGTTCACTGCATCGAGTTAGCCAATGTGATAGAGCATATGGTTCTTTAAGAAGCAAACCTCGTCGATTAACCACTTTGATAACCTCATCCAGTATCACAAATGCAGTCTGGAGACTTGCCAGCTCTACCAGAGCTTCCACCGCACGTGCATAGGTCTCTCTGCATCGCTGGACTTGCTGTCCACCCTTTCCTAAGCCAGTGAGTCCAAAGTCGTTGTTGCCCTCTGTCAGATAACTCTCAAAGGATGGCAGAAGAACACCCGAAACGTTATCCTGCTTTGTACGTATTCGGAATCGAGCCGATTTCGCGGATTCTTGAACTTGGTATCCAATGTCGCCGCCAACAGCGTAGCTGACTTCAGCAAGAGAAAACGCCGCAATCTGCATCACACGTCCCATCTTCCGCTTCGCTTCGTCGATTCGTCGAGTAATTTCTGAGGTTGTGTTAGTTTGTCCAAGAAAAGCGCTGGTTGAAACGGTAATAGCTGACCTCGGAAACGTCTGTCGTAGCTCTAGTTAGTGGCTGTATCATGAAAAGCAATTACAACAGCATTGGTTACTTACTTGGTCAGCGCCTCGCTTTTCCTCTTGAGCAAACTATGGCCAGTCTCAGCTCCCTTGAGCTTGGCCTTCATGATACCGAGCGATTGCCGAGTAGGGAAGACGGCCTCACGATCCTATTAGACAGTCAGATATATCAGGTCGGTTGCGGTAGCAACAGAATCTATTAATAGCCATGTATTAGAACATACCGCAGCACCAGACATATTTGCGAGATTGATTAGGAGCTTCTATAAATCGCTGGGTTGGAGTTTGTCGTTGCTGTATGGATGTCACTCGCTATGCTTCGATAAGTTGCGTACCTGCAGATAGCTCCCCACGGCTGGCGGCGCATGCTTTCCCCCACAAAGCCAATATCACTATAAGCGGGCATCTTCCGCCTGCCGCTTGCGCTAGCACCGCTACCTTCCATGGTCGTGGCAGGCGCCTAAATATTTCTGTCGCGATAAATTATATGTACATGTAGTCTTCGCGTATTGCAGGCTGACATCCGACATCCCGACGGCAATTTCTGCACAAAACTATTCCAGCGACAAAACAATGGGCCTCGTTGTATAGCTTCGAGAATATCGGCATCGCAGTAACCTCTCCAACCTCTCGCCTGAGAGGGGGAAAGCCACCATGGCGGCTCCAGTAGCGGACGGAATGGACCTATTCCTTGTTGTGAGTCCCTCTAGAAAGTGATTTGCGCTGCGCCTATCTTTCTAACTGTACACCTAGTCGAACGAAGACTCTGTCTATGAGCAGGACATTGTCCGCGATCCCACACGTGTTAGGCCATGGCTAGAGTATATCGATTTCAAGGTTCGCCATGGGAGCGTCCTGGAGCAAGCTTTCGTGATGGAGCGCGCTTGTATCAAACTACCACGATCATACAAGCTCTGGAAACTCGTCAGTTGAACCCTGAGAATGCAATGTAGTCCAATCGCTAATAGATCAGCAGTATCTCACCTTCCGCGTGAAACACGTGTCGAAGCTCAATCCAGCAGTCCATGCCGCCGAATACCGAAAAGTCAACGCTCTGTTTGAGAAATCATTGATTCTATTACACAAGATGCCGTTAATATGGGAAATGTATCTCAAATTTCTCATGAAGCAGCCTCTGGTCACGCTTACTCGCCGAACATTTGATCGAGCCCTCCGAGCCCTCCCGATTACGCAGCACAATCGCATATGGTCGCTGTATCTTCCATTTGCCAACGCCGCTTCGGGAGAAACTGCAGTTAAGATTTGGCGACGATATATGCAGGTCCATCCGGAAGACGCCGAGGACCTCATTGAGCTTCTCATCCTAAGAGGCGCCTACACCGAAGCGGCAAACCGATATATAAATATCCTCAACGACACACGGTTTTCGAGCAAACGTGGAAAAGGTCACTATGAGCTCTGGAACGAGATGGTCGAAATGCTGGTTGAGCACGCACCCGACATTGAAACGAGCTACGAAAACGGAGTTGACGTGGAGGGCATCATTAGATCTGGAATCATTCGATTTAGCGACCAAAGAGGCAAACTCTGGGTTGGGCTCGCAACATATTGGATTAGGAGGGGAAGTTTTGAGCGAGCCCGTGACGTCTTTGAGGAGGGCATAACAACCGTTATGACAGTCAGAGACTTTACCCTCATCTTTGACGCTTATGCTGAATTCGAAGAATCCATAATTGGTGCTTTGATGGACGTATCAAACTCTCGCGCTGGGAAAGGCATCGAAAACGAAGAAACAGATTTAGAGCTTGATATCAGGATGATGCGATTCGAGAATCTCATGGACCGGCGTCCATTCCTTCTCAACGATGTTTTACTTCGACAGAACCCCAACAATGTTCTCGAATGGGAAAAACGGGTCGCGCTCTGGGGCGACAAGAACGTCGAGGTTGTTCAGACTTACACGGACGCCATTACAACTATCAACCCGAAGAAGGCTGTTGGCCCGTTCCATCAGCTGTGGGCGAACTACGCCAAGTTTTATGAACGGGGTGGAGATATTAGAAACGCCCGTATCATCATGGAGAAGGCTGTCAAAGTCCCGTTCAAATCAGTGGCAGAGCTGGCTGATATGTGGATCGAATGGGCTGAGATGGAACTCCGCAGTGAGAACTTTGATGATGCCGTTCGAGTAATGGCCAAGGCAATCCAAGCACCAAAAAGATCCAACGTTGATTACTTTGATGAGGCTTTGTCTCCTCAGCAGCGAGTGCACAAAAGCTGGAAGCTATGGAGTTTCTACGTGGACTTGGTGGAAAGCGTCTCAACTCTAGATGAAGTCAAGAAGGTGTATGAGCGTATCTTCGAATTGAGAATTGCGACGCCTCAAACAGTCGTGAACTATGCCAACCTTTTGGAAGAGCATAAGTATTACGAAGAGTCTTTCAAAATTTTCGAGCGTGGCTTGGATCTTTTCAGCTATCCAGTGGCTTTTGAACTCTGGAATCTGTATCTCACCAAGGCTGTCGACAGGAAAATTGGCATTGAGAGGTTGCGAGACCTCTTCGAACAGGCGGTAGAAGACTGTCCGCCCAAATTCGCCAAGACGATATACCTCATGTATGGAAACTTGGAGGAAGAGCGCGGCCTTGCGCGTCATGCCATGCGGATATACGAACGAGCAACGCGTGCGGTTTCTGATGAAGACCGAGCTGACATGTTCAATTTTTACATCACCAAATCGGCCTCCAATTTCGGGCTGCCATCTACGAGACCTATTTATGAGCGAGCCATTACAGCTCTCCCAGACAGCGAAGCTAAGGAAATGTGTCTCAAGTTTGCAGATATGGAGAAACGATTGGGAGAGATCGATCGGGCAAGAGCCATCTATGGACACGCCTCACAGTTCTGTGATCCCCGAACGAACGCTGATTTCTGGACAAAATGGGAGCAGTTCGAAGTCCAGCATGGCAACGAAGACACTTTCAAAGAAATGCTGCGAATCAAGCGCAGTGTGCAAGCCAAATTCAACACTGATGTCAACTTCATCGCGTCACAAGCTCTGGCACGAAGTTTACAGAGACCAGAAGGCACCCCGGGCACAGAGGCTGGCGATCCCATTGCGGCTCTAGAGAAGCAGTCTCTAGCACCGCAGGGCTTCGTTGCTGCCAGCACAGGGCTCAAAGATATGCAACCAAGACAGGAAACTTTGGCATCCAATCCAGATGCTATTGATATTGATGGTCTTGATGACTAAATGTGCATTGAAAAAGAGCTGCTTTAAGAAGGGAGGGGTCTCGCTGCCCTGCTTGCAACACTACCAACTTTATCCTGACTAGCTCGCCCCCCATGTGATGGGATCAACCTGTTGTTTTTTATTCGGTGTCTCTTCACTAGTTGTAGAGCGACCTGCCTTCCCCGCCTTCATCTCGGCAATCTTGGCATGATATTTCTCGGCGTAATTCTTGTCGATGTGGCCATCCCGAGAACTAGGCGTGGCATATATTGACCCTTTGCGCTTCTGAAACCGACTAGGTGGCACTTTTGCAGCATCTGGTACCTTGTTAGTGGCTTGATTACACAACTGGCCCAAGTCTTTGCTATACGCCAGCAAAATATATCCAAGGCTATATAGTACGGGAAGGTTACAGGAACGAACCCCATTCATCACTAAATCGGCGATCTTTATTACCGCTCGAAACCGATGGGCTTCCCATTTTGGTTGCAGCTTGCTTTTGTTGCAGCTCGGGGCTTTCTGCGTTCTCCATGACGTCGTTCTATATCAACTTGGTACCTTGGTCTCTTATATTATGAAGATAGACCTGGAGCGATGTCAAATGCGAGACTACTTACGAGAGATGCGTTTTGGTGGGATAACTAGGAGTTTATATATGGCGGAGATCTACAATACTTGACATGATATTGGGTAGCATGCTGGAAGAGCTGTCGTCAGTGAAACCTATGACCGGCCTTGGATTGGATGACGGCTCCAGACTCCTGGGTACCCCGCAAAATAGCCTCATTCAACGGCGACAAAGAAGCATTGAGATTGAGTATTGCCACACGATCTCCATTGCTCCTTGACGTCACTATCCAGCATAGCCTGCTTTGTTCTCTTCTCGTACCACCGGGTAGATTGAGGTGCCTATCTAGCTACAAATCATACTGGTAGTACCTAGCTACTGAAAGAATCGGTTTCATCTATCATGATATCTATGCTCGGCTGATTTAAATCTTAAATCTGAAATACTTATTTTAATATCATCTTCATCTACACACCACCTCTGCCGTCCTATCTCTACAATCAATGAGAAGCTGTTTTGTAGACTTCATATTTAAGCGCAAGGCCGTAGCGTAAACCTTCTTAGTAAAACAATGACATATCGCTTTTAAAGATCATACAAACTCTATTTGCTGTAATACAATGCGTACTGCGTACTACTGTTGAATTTAATAAGAGTGTTGGCAATGCTAGAGCTGCTTGCTCTTTTATAACACAGCCACCGCCTCTTCATTGGCCAAACGGTCGGCCGCTAATCCCCAGCTCTACGACCCCTGCACTCCACCATACCTTAGCTACCGCAAATGACACTACAGGTACCTAGCTGGTAGACGTACCTTGGCCCTCATTCCACCTCTCCGTCTTTCAGCAGTCGAATCTCCGTTTCACGCGCAATGGCTATCGGGGCGTTGTCCAACAGCAGATACAACGCCGTAGATGAGGAAGCCAGAGCGGAAGTTGACGTGTTGAACTCCAGACTTGACCGAACCTCGCAATTGACCAAGAAGATCCAGGCCTCCCTTGGCCGACTCGAAGCCACAGGCCAAAGCGTTCGAGATGTCGCCGGCCCTCTGAACGGGGAGACGAGACGTCTCCAGACACTCTGCAAAAGTCAGCCACATTCTCTCATCGGAATCCAAACCACTGCTAAGTAGGAGAGCTAGATGTCGAATCTGTGCTTACGGCCATTGATCGCCTGCGCCAGCCCTCGGACAGCAAAGATGACGAAGAGCAAATCATTCGTTCTGGGCCTGAAAAGGCAGGCCTGTCGAACTATTTGGCCTCCATCAAGCGGCTGAGCAACTCGTACAAGGAAATGCAGACTTCGAATCTCCGCGCGAACCAAGGCACGATGGCGGAGCTGACCCGCCTCATCAAGCTGGGAAATTCGCAGCTAGAGAACCACTTCGACAAGATCCTTCGCGCCGAAACCCCTCGATCGCTAGAGCCACTCCATTACATCACCAAAGACAAGCCGTTCCCCGTGCTTTCACAAGACAAGGTCGCCCGGTTAGGCCTCGTCTATTCCCATGTCGCCGGGGATTATCCCAACAGCTTCGACTCGTCTGTCGCGAGGATATATGCTGATGTACGAGGGCCTTATTTGGCTGCCTCTCTCGCTAATCTAGCTGCAGCCAGTGTCAATACTGCCAAAAAGAAGAATCCGGGCGACGTGTACCAAGCAGGTGCAAATGGTATCGGAACGTACACCCAGGCCATGGAGGGCATCTTCCTCTCAGAATACGATAACATCTGCAGCATCTTCAAACGCGAGGACTGGGGCCCCATATTGCAGGCAACCTGCCAGGGTGCCATTACTGAATTGGCCAGAACTTTACGCGAGCTCAATACACACATTAAATCTCATCTTACGACTGACTGCTATATGGCCTATGAGGTTACCGAAATCATTTCTGGCTTATCGAGTAACCTTGATAAAAGGACGGGCGAACTAAAGAATTCACTGTCTGCTGCGCTAAAACCAGTTCGTGAGACGGCCAAGTCATCTCTCTCCGAATTATTAGAGGAAACCAGACGAAAGATTGGAAATCTGCAGACACTTTCATCAGATGGCGTGACACCCCCTATTGTTGCGGAGACGATGCAGCGATTAATCTCCATGGTGGAATTCCTTGGACCGATATCAAGCATCATGATATCCCTTGGGGATGGGGGTTGGAAGCCGGGGGCTGCTCCTGGTCGGACAACGGAAGGAATCCCGAGTTTGGCTTCTTTTGATGTCGGCGCCGACGGCAAAGAGCTCTTCGCCCATTACTGCCTGGATACTATTGATGTTCTGCTCACCTCTCTGAACCAAAAATCTCAGATGCTGCTCAGAAACAAGTCTCTACTAGGCGTGTTCATGGCCAACAGTGTTGTCGTAATCGAGCATATGATCCGCAGCTCGGAGCTTGCTTCACTGCTCGATCCACGGCCGGAAGTCCTTGACCAATGGAGGAAGAGGGCCACTGCCCAGTATACTGATATCTGTAAAGATTTATCGGTATATCTATTCGATACCATTCATACAAATCGAACCAAGCGTCCAACTTCCGGCCATGCTGATACCGCCGATTCGGCCTCGGTAGTAAAGGGTCTGAACAGCAAGGACAAGGACAAGATTAAAGAAAAATTTACGCAGTTCAACAATGCGTTCGATGACATGGTGGCTAAGCACAAGTCTTACAATATGGAGCGTGAAGTACGGGTAATGTTTGGCCAAGACATTCGCCAGAAGCTCCAGCCCTTGTATGACAGATTTTGGGATCGTTATCATGAGATTGATAAAGGCAAGGGCAAATATGTCAAGTATGACAAGTCGTCTATTGCGGCTGTGTTTGCAAGCCTCGCTTCCTAGCGGTTTCAAAATATCGCGGTGGACAACAAGGATCCATACTACTTGAGGCTTTGCGCAGGCCTACTTGTTTGATGGAAAGAGTTCAATCTTGCAGCGCGGATATGATGCGAGTAGAGAACTGATACTCCCGGCCAGCGAACTGTGGAAGCACTGGTGGCTTCTGAGAAGCTTAGATGAGCTGGGATGTGATACCATGGAATGTATGGCTATTTAGCCAGATATTGTCTGTACATAATGATAATTTGCCTAATTTAAAAAGATATCTAGCTTCTAGCATGCAATTAGTTGGCCTGATTATGACGCTTCCTCCTCTATCCACTACCAAAAATGGTGTCTACTCGTAATCTTCTATCCCACACAATCACTCCGTCACTCTTACGTTTGAAGTACAAGATTCGGTGCTGTGGGATGAATTCCTCGTCCGTTTGCTCAGCCTTCCAGCTATCCAATGCCTTCTCCTGAGCTCCGACGAAGCGGTCCTCATACCCAACCAGGTAGTCGCTGGAATCCATGGAAACGTCCCAACGGATTCGATTGAGGGCATCAATGGCACTGCGGAGTTTGCCTGCTCCCGGCGGCTTGACAGCTTTGAGCGAAGGCTTTGAAGAGTCTGTCTTTGTTGCTCGAGAGTCCTTGTTGGCGCCAGTGATGTCGCCATCTGATTCGTCTAGTTCTTCTGAATCGACGTCTTCGTCTAGGTCGGAATCGGCGCCATCGTAATCGTATAGCTGGCTGGGCGCGAGACGCACAGAACCAAGGCTAGAGCGACGAGAGATGGATGCGCTCATCCAGCATGATTCGGCGTCAAAGTACTTATCGTCCCTTTGAATGCGGGATTCAAATTCTTGAAGAATTACATGAACACTCCCCTCTGCGGCGGCTAAGCTTGTCGTGGATTTATCAGTAACGTTCTCGTCCCACTTGAGACCTATTAGATAGCAAGCGTTGAGCTCCGAAGTCTGGTCGACACCGTTTGTCGGGTCCTCGTCTGCAAATCTGGCTGGCCATATGCGCGGTATAAGACTTGGAGATTTTCGGCTTATGTCTAGTTCGATGTAAGCATCTACCTGTAGCGCTACATAGTGACTCGTGTTAATTTACTTACCAACAAGTATGGATATGCACCTAGACTCTAGCCAACCAAGGTATTTTCTTCCCTTCTGCTGAGAGGATCCCCAGTAGCGAGCACTTATTTTGATATAGGATCGATATGAATCAAGAAAATCAGCAGCTCCTTTCTCAACCAAAGCCAATGGTGTGCCATTTTGCTTCAGGCCGAGAAACTTGCTCCATGTCATATTTTGCTGATCAATCAGAGCTACAGCTCTGGTGAGTTCAGAAGCAAGAGCATTGACGGTGGAAATGGATGCAGTGGACGCAGCATTTAGAGATGGCCCATGCCAGCCAAGTAGACACAGTGGCTCCCTAAATGTGCGATGATATTTCAAACCGGGGTGATAAAATGGATCGAATACTATCCCGGTTTCCCAGTTGAACTTTGAGTAGTGTTGGAAAAAGGTCGTCAGGATATCGGCTGTGGAGACTGCTTCGGATTCATTTGCCAATGCTTTGCAGATGGGCACCAACATGGATGAAATATGAATTCCACCCAGCATACCATATTTTGCTGCATACAGGCCCCTTGATTGTGCCCAGGCTTTGATGAAAAGATGTGCCACGCGATATTTCGTTATATCAGGGATGGATCTCCGCAGATAAAAGAGGTCCCTCGCGGGCTTTAGCTTTGCCAAAGTTTGGACCGGCAAAGTAAAGACAGGATCCGATGAAGGTCGTTTCAGAACATCGGGATATCTAGATGGGATTTAGTAAGATCAAATAGGCCAAAAAAAAAAAAAGGAAAATAGCTTACCCCTGAGCTATGGCAGCAGCGGCACAGTACTGAAGGTCAAACTTGATGCCGCGAATCTCCAGTTCAAGCATTGTCCCAGTATTTGCCATTACACGCCGGAGAATTTTCACACCTTCCGCAGAAGCTTTTCTCAACTTCTGTACTGCCAAGCTGAAAAACACACGGCTGCTTATGTTGCCAACACAGAGACAATCGATATCTGACAAGTCAGTCCACACACCCAGACCAAACGATCCCACTGGGATAAGGACAAGCTGCACTTTTGAGCGCGTTTCAGCGGCAGCGGCAGCGGCAGTAGCATCTTCTTCGATCAAAATCCGTTGAAGGATATCGATTGCTTCCTTTCTCAGATTCGCCTCGGGGGCAGTAGGAAATTGACCGCTGGATACTAGACTGGCCTTCAACTCCTCGAAGTTACCCAAAGAAAGGGCAGCTTTGTGTAGGTTGACCTGGAAGTTAGGGCTAGACCGTGTTGCATTTCCTGCTTCGCCAGGTGACAGCAAAAGAAGGCAGCGAATGCCCCAATGGTCACTCGCAAAAGTTGGAGAGGCGTTTCCATTCTCACTGACAGCCTGCTGACCGAACATGTTGAATCCATGAGGACGCAATTGAGTACATTTCTTGACCAAGATCCTATCATATCTCTGTGGGCGGCTGTTATCAACGCCACTGGAAGCTGCAGCCAGGTCATTGGAGGTTGGATCAAAAGTAGCTCCTTGTTCTCCCTCATAAAGCCCCAAACTTGATTCATGGCTGCCTGTTGTGCTTGAAGATTCTCCAGGCCCTACTCGAGTTATGAGCCATGAGTCTTGGAATCCAGCCTTTGCCACAAGCATATCGATCTCTTGAAGATATTCGAGACCCTTTTCCGAAAGTTCCCCCTTTTCCAGTCCTTCATCAATTGTGCGCGATGATGACGCCAGGTTGAAGTCTCCGGCAATTACCCACGGACTCTGAGGGAAAGAGGATCTTAGATACTCGACGAGAGCTAATATCTCATCTCTTTTCATATTGAGAGCGGAATCTGTTAGGCCCCTACTAAGATGACAGGCAGCTAGAATCAAGGGCGCTGGATCAGAGTCTGAAGATTCGCTGATGTGTATTGTTGGAAATGTGAGAATCGCAAACCCTTTATGTTTCTTTGCGGCTGGCAGATACTTCCAATGGAACGCAATTTTGCTGAGAACCATGATATTCAGGTGACTGGGTAGAGGGCCAATGCCAAGCTGCTGGGGCGATCCATGGGTAGAGAAAGGATACTGCTGGTTTATAGTGTTGTCTGCTAGCAAAAAGCTGAGAAACTGATCCGTTACCTCCTGGAGAACAAGAATATCGGCCGATGAGCGCTCGGAAAGAATGTTGTTAACAAGTTTGGAATACCTAGTTGAGCTGGGTGGCCAGTCAAACTCGGCTAGGACGTTATAAGAAGCGACAACCAAGCGACCGAGTCGTTCTGATTCAACGTCCGTACCCGTGAAATTATTCGCAAGAGGTTTCCATAACGCGCTCACTCCATCATAGCGGAATGTATCTTGTGGGGATGGCAGAGAGCTGTCCTGTGGTAACTCGGGAATTGCGGCCAAGGTCACAGGGTCGCGTACAAGAGACTTTGACGCCAGATCGATATAGCCCCAGAGCCTCATTGGCCGCGAAGCTGTCATCTTGTTCGGAGACACGGGATCACGAACCAATATTGCGAGCTGGTGAGTGTTCCATGCCAATGGCGTCACAAGCCGTGCTTTTTCCAGGAGGAATTGATGCCATGCCGCATGAGTATCTTCACTCTGCGCAACGGTTAGATGAGGCTGGTACTCTCTGCCCTTGGGCCATCCAAGAAAGCGGTATATCCGGTCTCTCAGCTCTAAAAGACATCTTTGCTCCTGTCCAGACTTTGGGCGGATAAAGACGGTGCTGTGACGGCGATGGGAAAAGACTCCAGCCTCCTCCAAGTTCATGGAGATGTCGTCACCATCTGGCATCAGATCGAGCCCACTTAGAGCTTCAGCTGCATCGGGAAGGGCTTTTGGTTTCACAAATGGGTAGACGAGGGTGACATGCGGCGGCCATTTTGTGAACTTTTCGTCGTTGAGTGATCGTAGCGAGTTGACTGGGCCCCAAAGGTGAGGTGGAGGTATAAGACAGAGTGCAGTGTCGTGCGACTCTTCAAAAGTCTGCTCAGCGGGAACATCCATTGGCGAGTAGTGTATTGCAAAACACGGGTATCCGTACAAAATGTTCAAAGTGAGGAACAGAAAACAGGAAATATAGAAAATATCACTTCACAAAGGTTGAGCAGAAAACAGAAAGATGAAAGCTGTAAACAAGAAAGGTTGGGTCAAGTAATGCGTGAGAACTAAATCACCATCAGTACCGCTTGCTGATAATTAACTGGAATACATATTAGATCTTTGCAATTGCTATGGATGTCTGAAAAAGCTCGAGCCTCGTAGTTGCGTGCTGTTTTGAGGGGGCGTTGAAGAATCATACGGCGTGAGTCACATTCAACTTATTACGTTTTCATGCCTGCAAAGGCAGACTCAGCAGATCACTATTGTAGCTAGTTCCATAGGGGAGAGTGCCCGAATACGAGCTCATTGCCATTTAATTGTGCGGTGGGGAGTATCGTGTGTGTGATCTGCATGATGCAGGAAGATGAAAAAGGTTAAATGGACTGAGGAAAGAAAAGGGGAGAGAAGAGAGAAAAGAAAGAAAAGTAATGAGGAATAAAAGGCATAGCAGAGAGTTGTGAGATTCTCAATTCGTTTTATTAGCGCTACAAGCTGTGACTGTACCTCGGATCAAGTAGCCGGCAACGGCTAAGAGTCATAGCCGCTGTGCACCCTGGTAACTGTAGCTGCTAGCGGATAGAGCTCTTTCAGCACAAGAGATTATCCCCATCAGAGATCAGCCAAGCTGCAAAGCTTCGCTTATCGCTTCATCTACATTTGCTGGCCAGTCCTAAATCGGCCACTCATGAGTAATTGAGCATCACATCCATCTTTTCGTTACTATCCTTTATATCTTTTTGGTGATTACATTATCTCTTTCTTCATCACGTGAAGCTGCTCTTTAGACTATTTTCATTCAACCTCCCTCTCCATCTCCCCAGTCTAAAATTTTCATTTCCATTGAATTGGCTCGAATTGACTGTCAAGATGAGTTTCTAGAAGTGAAATTTCGAATATCAGGCCGTGAGTTTTACCAAATCGATCTATTGAGGAAAGCGAGGGAGAGAAAACTCCTGGATTCACACTACCAAAAAGGCGCTCTCCGGCTGTCCGATATGCGGCATGGCATCCAACGCATATTGGAGCCGTGCCAGCATCAATTCTGCCTGTTCTAACTATGGTTTACTTTCATTAAAGAGAAAACTGGCCATGCACCTTTCATCTTCTTCCTATCGGTCCATGGGCAAAAGTATAGCGTCAATTGGGACAGCTCGGGGCTCTCATGTATCAAATGCCTCTTCATGTCAGCCAGCCAATACTCGCAGCTTCTCTTCTCCCACACAAGCCCGAGAAAAGCGACAAAACTTTGATCGGGTGCGTATTAGTTTACTTGGCGACGACAACTCATTGCAACATTACTGAATAGCATCAATGCCTTTGTAAAAGTCGCTAATGCCTATGCTAGGACGTCATTGTGTCTGTCCTAGAGTCCACAGCCACAAGGCGGGACGCCAAAGGTTATCTCCAAAAATATGCAGCACCAAAGCCTCCTTCTCCAGTACCAGCATTATCGACGCAAGTTGAGCATCAACATGAGCCACCCGCCAGGAAACTCCAAGCTCAGCCGCCGTTCAATGTCGCCATTGTTGTCTTACGGAATCCTCAAAAGCTACAATCGGACACCATCGAGGGAATAGCCAAGACGCTTACACAGCTTCGGGCTCTTGGTCTGATGAGCGTTGTTGTTGTGGATTGCGGCACGGACGAGAACCGTACCACTTTTCAACATGAAGCTTTGAGGCTTTGCGAAGCTGTTGATTCCTTTGGCAAACATGGCTCCAGACTGATCGAAAACTTACTTGTCGGTACTTCTCACTTTCAAAGTGCCACCCCTTCTCCGTTTTGGGATGATATACAGGTCCAAGACTATGGTATCCTAAACCGCGCGCTTCAACATCATATGATAGCAGTCATTCCGTCTCTTGCGCGAAACAATGAGATCATGTCCCCCGTGCCTGCTGATGTTCAGAGAACTGCCCTTGCGTTAACGAGATACTTTACGGGACTGCAGTTCGAGGAAGATTCAAGTAACAGCCAAGATGGAAGTTTTCGGGGAGCTCGGGAGCCCCTTGCTTCCGTCGAAAGGGTCATTATCCTCGATCAGTTCGGAGGAATTCCCATGACTAGTCGTCCCAACGTCTACCACAGATTCATCAATCTTGAACAAGAATACAACACTCTCTTGGATCAACTCGAAGGCGGCGGTGATGGCTTATCGAAAGCAGCACAAGGCAGACGAAATGATGGATCTTCTACTACCCACGCCAGAAATCTCAAGTTAGCAAAGGATACACTATCACTCTTACCTGAGACAGCTTCCGTCCTTATAACTAGCCCATTGGCTGCGTCCAATACGTCGTCGGCATCTTCGGGACTTCCTCCTACACGAGACAGCAAATACCAGTTTGGTTTTGACGGCATGGTCACCACTCGCAGAAGACAAAACCCTCTCCTCCATAATCTCCTTACCGATAAACCCGTATACTCTCCCTCGTTGCCATTTCAACGCATCCAATCGCCCGAACTAGCATTCTCAAATACAGGAGAGTCAATCAGTGCAACGCTTGTCAAGCGAGGTATGCCGTTGACCATCTACCCCGATCCAAGAACCTCTCCATGGAAACCAGCAGCGCCTGGAGAGCGCGGGCCGCAGCTCACTGACAAGTCCATTGATTTGGCCCGGCTTGTTACTCTAATTGAGGATTCTTTTGGCCGCAAGCTGGACGTCGAGGACTACTTGCGACGAACAAATGAGAACTTGGCAGGAGTGATCATCGCGGGAGAATACGAAGGATGTGCCATCCTGACCTGGGAGAGGCCAAAAAGCATTGATACTCAAACAGCCTATGATGAGGGACGTTACGTTCCGTATCTCGACAAGTTTGCCGTTCTTCGGAGCCGTCAAGGCAGTGGCGGAGTTGCCGACATTGTGTTCAACGCCATGGTCCGCGATTGTTTCCCTGATGGCGTGGTTTGGAGGAGCAGGAAAGACAATCCCGTCAATAAGTGGTATTTTGAGCGATCGGTGGGAACCAGTAAGCTGTCCGACTGCAACTGGGCCATGTTTTGGACAACACTGGAGTTGAGCAATACAAGTCATAAACTCGAAGACTATGAGGAAGTATGTAGAGAAATTATGCCATCTTGGGCAGACAACATTCAGAGGCTAGAATAGATACACAGCAAGATCAAGACCAGAAAACCAGGTGGAGGTGGTAGCAATGTGGTCGATATGTGACGATGGCGTCATTTCAAATAAAAACAGACCCTCAGATCGTAAAACGGACATTTTTTATAAGTGAAATTTATGATAAAATTGAGCCGCTCCCAGCCCGTAAGTGTAGTTCACATCGAGTTTTAGCTTGGATTTTTAGCTTGCCGCAACAACAAGCTACTGGAGCTCTCTACAGCGAGCTCTTACTGCACAAGGTAATTTGCAGGTATTGAGCACGGGCAGCTTTATCGGACAGCTCAGATAATGTTCTAAGAACAAATTCACCAGGTGTGACTCAACCTGTTGTTCCTTCTTTATTCCGATTACTCACAGCCTCGCTGGCCACATGACTTGATGCTGAATTTGGCCAGGAATAAAGAATGCGACTGGCCTTTTTATGTTATCGCGAATCTGTCGCCCTCACCTCATAATGAAGAGGAAGCTCAGTGCACTTTTGAGAGATACAAGTTCAGCCATCGCCATGTCCACTCACTCAGTCAAGCTCACAGAGCGCGAGAAACAGCTCCGCTCTCTTCTTCTGAACGTCGCCAAGTTCATTGACACGACAACGACGCTCGACCAGCCGCTGGTTCTGCGCTGGGCCGGCGGTTGGGTAAGAGACAGACTCCTCGGCATAGAGAGTCATGACATTGATGTGGCAATCAATGCCATGACCGGGCAGCAGTTTGCGCAGCACATCTCAGAGTACTGCAAGCAGCCCGACGCCGCAAAGACCCATGGCTTTGCCCCTGGAGACATTGGCAGGCTGCACCGCATTGCGAGCAACCCGGACAAGTCCAAGCATCTCGAGACCGCCATGGTCAAGCTCTTTGGCATGGACCTTGACTTCGTCAATCTGCGCAAAGAGACGTATGCCGAGGACAGTCGGAACCCTCAGATGGAGTTTGGTACCGCAGAGGAAGATGCTCTTCGCCGGGATGCCACCATAAACGCTTTGTTTTACAATCTGCACACCGAGGAGATTGAAGATTTTACCGGCGGCATCCGCGACATGGAGGCGAAGATAATTCGGACTCCCCTCGAACCCTATCAAACGTTTATAGATGATCCCCTCAGAGTACTTCGTCTCATACGTTTCGCCGCTAGGCTAGGGTTTACTATCGATGAGACGTCGAAGAAATTCATGAACAACAAGGATATCCTTGAGGCTCTCCGGAAGAAAATCAGCCGTGAAAGAGTTGGTGTTGAATTAGAAAAGATGCTGAAGGGTATGCATTGCTCTCTCCCGGATTCCATATTCCTTGACCACAAGCTGACATAAAGTAAATAGGCAAAACACCCCGATCGGCACTGGAGATAATTAACCGTCTTGGCCTCTACCAAGCAATTTTTAGCGATCCGGCGGAAGAAAATGTTGCATTGCCCGATATATCCCGATGGCATGTCGCCTACAGCTGTCTTGACGAACTATTAAAGGATAGAGAGCCGGGCTCAATATCTCAGCTGTTGATTGATGTTGATGACAGCGATACTACGTATTTGGCGTGGAATCTCGCTGCTGTGAGCCCCTGGATCTCCAGAGTTGATCGCTCTGGGCGCAAGCAAAAGGCAAATGCCCTCCCGCCCGTTGGTGTCATCGCCCGTGAAGGGTTTAAAGCCTCGAACAAGCTCACAACTGTCATGACAGCCTGTCACAAGCATCGTGCTGAAATACTTGACCTAAAAAAGGCAGTGTGTGAGAATTCGCCGATAGTAGAGCAACGAGACACCTTGGGCATGGCCATTCGGAAGTGGGAAGCAGTGGGCGGACACTGGAAGGTTCAAGTGTTAGGAGTGATAATGATCGATGCTATGGAACAGCTTAAAGATTTTTCCGCTGAGAAGGGTAAAGGTTAGCATTGAAACAAAGCCATTACTAGGGCGAGTTTAACAGATGTGCTGACTTTCTAATCTCATCGCAGATCATACAGTGTTCCTTGAAGGATGGGAAAAGTTCCTTCAGCATCTCGTTAAACTTGATATTTTCGATGCCCCCAATTTGAAGCGAATTATAGATGGACGAGCTCTGGCCAAGGCCCTGGGGGTCCCGCCGGGCCAATGGATGGGCAAAGCTTTGGACATCTGCATGGCTTGGCAGCTTCGAAATCCGGCAGAGGAGAGTCCAGATGGTGCAATACAGGAAGTGAGAGACAAAGCCGAGGATCTGGGTATAAAACTAGAATGAAAATAAGAAGCGGCGCTGAAAAAGATGAACGTGCTCAATTAGTTTTAAACTATTTGTCAAAATGATACCTCTACTAATTCCTAAGTCTACAGAAGTCTAGTCCAAAATATGAACATGTAATCATAACGCAGCCAAACAAACTGCTTGCCCTCTAATTGTACAGGAAAGATTGCGAGCTGGTATAATTGGTTAATAAAAGATAATCACTCCTCCGGCTAATGCTTTGTGGAATATTTCATCATCAAACTTCCTCCCCATACTAAAATGTTCACTTCACTCCTGTATCTTTTCCAGGCTCTTCTTTCCATTGGCGTGGGCCTGGCTTCCTGGGTCTTGAGGTGGTGCGTCGCTAACATCAATTCCACTGATGAACATGGCGCTGGCCCCTTCTAGAGCGGCAACGAACACACATAGAAGGCTAGCAATCACAAAGTGACTGATAGTGGACCCGATTTCTAGCCAAGATCCCTCATCTTTAACGACCCAGAAGAAATAGAGAGTCAAGATATCGCTGATTGCCATGACAACCATGAACAATGCTGACGGGGCGATTCGAAGTCGCTTGTTCAAAATGCCAAGGTTTGCCGAAATGAGGCCAAACGGGATCATCAGCTTGAGAATAAGGAGTGCTCCCTGAGAAAATGGATCAAACACAGGGATCAGACGAGTAACGCTCTCCAAGCTGAAAGATGAGATGGAAGCGACATTTCCAGTGCTGAAGAAGGCCGATTGAAGAAGCACCATGAAGAAGAGTGATACACGGGCGTCTGACAAGCGCAGTTGCCGGTTCGGCACGCTTTGATCCGCCTTTGCAAAACCGTTCCTGCTGGATGCTTGGCTTTTACCAAAAGTGTCGATACGGTATTCCAAGCGAACCCAGATGACGAGTAAAATAGAGTACGCGATGTAAAACAAGCCTTCGTAGGATATCGTGAGGATGATGAATGTCGGGGCGCATGTGAAGAATATCATTGCCAGGCGGTGCATGAAGTTGCTGTTTGGCTGCAATCGATGGAGTGTTGGCATCAAAAACGATGAAACTTTGACGGATGTTAGAACTTTTGGACTGACACAATGCGAATCGATTTTTTTTTTTTAACATTTGAAAGACTTACCCAAAATGATCCATCCCATGATTTGATTGCCCAAGGGTAACCCCTGTTTGGCTTGGAGAGATAGAGCGCTGGAGCGAGTTACCAAGGTTGCAAGAATAATGAGCCCGACCTATAACAAGATTAAGTGTGAGCAGTCATACTGTCAAAGAATCCGAGAGCCATCTTTCTTACCTGAACACCGGTCACAGCCCTACTGACGAGCGACTTTGAATTGTGGTCGATTTCAGCCTTCTGGTAAGAGAAATCTGACAAAATCATAGTCTCAAATATCATATAGAAAAGACCGACAAGGCTCATGATGACACCACTGAAGACACTGATTTAATCTATCGTTAGAAGCAGAACAGATGAAGATTTACGCAAGGGTGTGCGACGTACATTAGGTCCACATTCTCAACTTTCATTGCAGGTAAGAGTGTAAAAGTGCTCATAACCAGACAGAATATCGCCCATGCTGCGCTGAGGAGGGCATTTGAGCGAATGAATGATGTGCCAGACATGACAGGCCATGCTGCTCCCAGGATGAACAGCCCAGTCAAAATTTCGCGATGATCGTAGCCGAGAGCCTATATATGTTAGAAATATGTCGATGGTGACCAGATATGAAAAGAAGCTTACCAAAGAAACCAGAATGGCACAGTAAGCGAGCGCATTTACAACAAAAGTTACAACTCCGCCAGCAGATCCAATGTGTCCAAAGAGTATTTTGCCTCCCTCAAACAGACTGAACCTTTGTGCATAGATTTCTTCCCAGAAGACAACAGGGAAGAATGCATAAGCATAGTACGTAAGGGGGGATTTAGAAGCAATGAAAGACGCATATAGTGCGGCCAAGACTGAGAAAAATCCGGCAACACTCGAGGTGCTGCGCTGGGGTACAGTCGACGTCGGAATCACGTACAAATCGATGACCGTCGTGATGGCATATGCGATCCAGCCAAGATATCCAACTGTGATCAAAGCTCGCAAAAACAGCCAGTCGTAGGTTTGAAGGTAGCGCAGCCCTTCAAGCGTAATATTGATGAGGGCGTCAATTTCCTCAATGGCCTCTTCGTATTTTCCGAGAGATATGAGCTGATCAATATTAGCTACTCGCTGTGATGGAGCTAGCTCTGCACTGCTGAAAGCGCCAAATGGTTTATATCTCATTTCATTCGCTTGCTTCTTCTGCTCTTTGACTTTGTACATCTCCAATATTTCACGAGCATTGAGTAGCAGAGCTTCTGCCTTTTGCCGATTATTTGCAGACAAGTATGGGAGAGGCAGCTTTCCAACAGAGTTTACCGGGAACTCGGTGCCGATGAGATAGGACATGAGCGCAGCAACATCAGCCTGCGCAATATCATGTCTTTGAACATGATCCAGCCCCCAGTCAGCCGAATAATCGTCGTGGCCTGGAGCTATTGTCCCTGGGTAGAGATTAGGGGAAGCCACACCCGAACCCCAGCAGATCAAAGGTGTTCTGGTGTTGTCTGGATGGCCATCGCCGTGGCTACCCCAGTCACTCATGCCATGGTCCGCAGTGAAGACAAATGCAGTCCGTTCATCTGCATAGAATCTTTGGACAAGGTCGGTCACCTCCTGAACTCCTTTGTCGACAATCTGAAGGTTATGCAGATACTCCTTGGAGTAAGGTCTATGCGAGTGTCCAGTTGTGTCTAGACCAAGCAGATGAAGGAAGAAAACAACCTTTTCCTGTCGAAGGGCCCGATCAAGTGTTCTATTGGTGGCGGCTTTGGTGAACAATTCTTTAACATGGTCAAAAACCCAAAAGTCGAGGTGAGTCGCATCTTTGGAGAAATCCTCAAAATCGGCGTCATATGTGTGTGCGTCAACACGGCCAGGAACAGCACCAGTCTCAAACATGGGTAGAATATCAGGACTGCCCCAGCTCCAAGTATGATGGCTCCTGTTGAACACGCTGTCAAAGTTGACAGGGTTGAGCTTCCACCCAGTTGCCACAGCAGAAACATCTTCGTAAAGACCAGCGATCAGAGCCACATGGCCAGGGCGAGATTCTGTCGGAACGCGCGTGTGCGAAACTCCAAAGGTTCCATGTTGGAGAGCTCGAGAACGAAGAAAGGGGGCCAAGTGCCTGGGAACACGGTCGTCTTCAGATTCGGGGTACGGCTCAGGAAAGGCTTGGAAGGCTTTGTCGGCTCGTAGCCCGTCGCCTGTCAAGCAGAAGTCAGCTCAAGCTCCGAGGCCCACTATACAGCATGGAAAGTGCCATGGCAATCGTACCAACAAAAAGGACTAATCGATTCGCAGGACTCTTGATGTTTGCGGGACGGTCCACAGGAACCAATTGCATGCCAGAGACAATAGGGCTGACAAAGTAGATGTCGAAGATGGAGTAGATGTAGACCAGGTGAAAGATGACCGCAGTGGCCAAGAAGCCTAACCGGCCCATGGCAGCCATGATGGTCGACGTGTAGATGCGCAGCCGGAATGCAGCAAAAAACAAAAGAAGTCAAATGGGAAAACAATCAATGAGCTTCCATAGCGTACCTTGCGAAGCACCAAGCCCGTGACTGAGCGTGGTTAATTTAAGGTGTGCTGCTGTAGGGGTATTTTACAAGTCACAATGCCAGAATCGGACACGACGTCGCGAGAGAACAAGCTCAATTCTGGCGTTTGATAGGCCGAGCAGAGTGCCAGTGACAAACCACAGCCCACCAGAAAAACACAGCCTTGTTTTACCTTAATAAAACAAAATTGGAGCATCTGGCTTTAGCAGCAGTCCCTGGAAATAGAGCGGCCGCTAAGTGAAATTAAGCCCATGGAAATCTTGCTTTTCATTCACGTTATTTCGTGTTAGTCTGCGCTTCACTTGGTCTTGCCACCACCATAGATGACCTCCCTGATGCCGCTACCTTGAAATAGCGGACGCTGCATTGGATACTGCATCTGATGGCTTTGAGGTACGCTTCTCTCTTTCAATATACTGATATAATATCTAGCACGCCTCTACTTGTAGACAACCATCCCTGCCGGTGATTATTGGCACGCACATATATCGTGAACTTTTTGTGTTACGATGATGTCGGCGAAGCTAAAGACTAGGTTACTCCCCTACAAGGATTAATGATGTTCAAGCCTCAACGACAACGTCATCAGCACTCCTGATCACAGAAGTGAACACAGTAACTCAAGTCGATAGCGGGCGACATATTAGTCTCTAGTGATTTGTACAGCAGGGCGTGTGATAGTTGGGCCAGCACCGCTTCCTTTGCAAAATGCCTTGTACAAGCCGTTGAAATTGGTTCGTAAGGTATTACGAAGTTGTGTTGGTTTACCCGGAAGAGCAAATCTTTCCGACTGTATGATAATTACTACATATCTCTATAGAATGATGAAGTCACTTCATAACTCTCAATGCTAAGTGAATATCATGGTGAGTCTCAGCGAGGTTATCCTACCTACCTATTCGCCTTGCTCTGTTTACTACTACATTGTTCTTGGATCAGAGAACCCTGAGGCCTTCAGCGCTCAGTCTAGCACTCAATAGGTCTAGTCAGATCTCTGTCTCGTGGAAAACACCCGCTCCGTAATCTTCCTTGCCAGAATCCTAGCACGTGACCGATCCGGCACTGCGCAATCGGGCAGCCGAGTGTACAACCGAGGGCCGCTTCCAGCCGCCGGATGACCTATTTGCAACTTGGCTCGGCGTAGGAGAGAGATGCTCTTAGACATCTGCATCCTCTCAATTGATTCAACATGTTGCCCCTAACTCGCCAGCTGCTCTCCAAGCGTGGAGATGCAGTCCTTAGCAGATCCATGCGGTGGGCGTCCAAGTACAGCCAGAGCAGTGCCCTTTCCACATTAGCTATTCTGGAGCAGCGAGACGGCCAGCTCTCTCATGGCTCGCTCAGTGCCGTTACCGCGGGCATCAAGGTCGGCGGCTCTGTCCATGCATTTCTGGCGGGAAGTAAGGTTTCAGCGGCCGCTGAGCAGGCTGCCAAAATCAACGGCGTGGAGAAGATCATTACGGTGGAGAACGACGCCTATAACAAGGTACGGGCGACCCAGCTATATATCAATTGAGACGCAATTGGTGATGCTAACGAGACAATAGGGCCTACCCGAGAACTACGCACCGCTGTTGGTCGAGAACATCAAGAAGGGCAACTATACACACGTTATTGCCGGACACACAGCCTTCGGCAAGAGCGTACTACCCAGAGTCGCAGCTCTGCTTGACTCGCAGCAGATTTCAGATGTGACATCCATCGAAGACGAGAAGACATTTGTCCGCCCCATATATGCCGGAAACGCCATTGCCACCGTCGAGTCCACCGATGCCATCAAGATTCTCACCATCCGCGGAACCGCCTTTGCTCCTGCAACACCAGAAGGGGCATCTACTCCCATCGAGGCTGGAGTGGACCCCAAGCCAGAGGCTACTTCAGAGTGGGTATCTGAGAACCTAACAAAGTCAGACCGACCCGATCTCGCTACCGCAGGCAAGGTCGTCTCGGGCGGTCGTGGACTCAAGTCCAAGGAAGAGTTCGACAAGGTCATGCTGCCTTTGGCTGATGCTTTGGGCGCCGCCGTCGGTGCGTCCCGAGCTGCCGTTGACAGCGGCTATGCGGACAACAGTCTCCAGGTTGGACAGACTGGAAAGGTAGTTGCCCCGCAGCTGTACATGGCCGTGGGCATCTCAGGCGCCATCCAGCACTTGGCGGGCATGAAGGACAGCAAGGTCATTGCCGCCATCAACAAGGACCCTGATGCGCCCATCTTCCAGGTCGCTGATGCTGGACTCGTAGGAGATCTCTTTGAAAAGGTCCCAGAATTAACGGAGAAGCTCAAGAGCTCCTAAACTGCTATAGGTATATATAATACAATAGAGTACAGTACACAGAGCATCCATTTTGTGCCCTTTATGTGATTGAATTGAGCATGTCCCCAACGTTGGTGAACTTGTCCCTTTCCTTACCCTTTTCTAACCCTCGCTCTCTTTCAACTCGATCTATCTGGCGCCATTGATCCCACGTAACTACTTGGTTGGATAGAGCGCCAATGTCAGCGCTGACAGCCGCCCATCCCCCAGCCGTGCCATTTGCAGAGGATCCTAAGAGAGGAGCTCCTGAGAGCCAGTCTTGCACCACAGCGTCTCCTGTTATGAATGCGTCTCTCATGGTGGAAGCAATGACACCAGTGGGGCCATTCTTAACCCAACCGGCGCAATATACACCGGGCAATGGTGATGGTTGCACTTCGACGGAGTTGCTAGTATCGGCTGGCAGCTGTATGGCCCGGCCCAATCCGTCATTCTTGATAACCCCTCGCTTCTCATCGAAATGAATACCAGCCTCAGCAAATCCAGGTAGGGCTACCGACTTATACCCAACAGAGCGGAAGGCTATATCTGACGGCAGTGTTATTGTTTCCTCTGTGAGAGCCACAGAAGATCGAGGATTGAACGCGTCTTCCAGCTGTGTAATGTAAAACTCAGTGCCGCCCACGTGGGAAGGATTCAACTTGCTGCCAACAAAGGCTTTCGGTGATAGACAGCTATCGAGAGACCACGACCTAGGAGTGTTTGAAGGGCTGGTTGGTGTTCCTTTTCGAAGAACTTCCATCAGTCTTTTGGCAGCTCTTGGGAGGGTATCAAGAGCGTCTGGTATCAGCGAATTGTCCACTCCATGAAAGGCAACACCGGAAAGCTTCATTAGCTCGCGTACTTCTTTTATTGTGAACGCCGCCTAATGCAATCGGATTTAGTTATCGAACCAGTGAGTTGTGACAGTATCGGACTCAGACAGCTTGCTTACCTGCATCGGGCCTCTCCGACCGACAACGTGGACTCTTTTGACTCGACTTTGAGCCAGCTGCGCGAGAGCCGATTCTGAAATGTCAGTCTTTCTGAGTACGTCTACATCTTCCAGTAATATTCTAGCCACGTCCAAGGCGACGTTGCCTTGACCAATAATGACTGCTTCCTCGGAGCCAGACAAATCTGGCGCAAGCTCTGTGCAATCGGGATGGCCATTGTACCAGCCGACGAATTGACGAGCCGAATAGATACCTCCAAGAGATGATTCTCCCGGGATGTGCAATTTCTTGTCTTCAGATGCTCCATACGAAAACAGAATGGAATCGTACTGGCTCGTGAGTACCTTGAGTGGGATGGTGCAATGCTCTGACTGATGTCCAGGGAGGCCAATGGATACGTTTCCAATAAAAGTAAAATTGGGAGAGGTAGCAACTTCATCAAATTTCTCTTGACAGTTCTGAAGAAATATAGTTAGAATATTCTGCGCTCATGAACATGGTTGTCAGTGAATGGCTGTCTTCACCTTGACCTCTGGGTGATCTGGCGCAACGCCGTGACGAACAAGACCGAACGGGACTGGCAAAGCCTCATACATGTCAACGCGAGCCTGCGGCAGTTTGGACATGACCCGGTACGCCGTGTAGAACCCGGCAGGGCCGGATCCGACAACGGCCAGGCGGAATGGAGCGTCGGCCTGCCGAAAGACGCATTGTGAGGCGGAGAAGTTCCTCACGGAAGCTCTGAGATGGACATGATGAAATGGCCAGGCAGCACGCCGGCCAAGGCTGAGAAGCATTATGAAAACGGGCGTTGGTAGGAACCCATTCCGATTGGAAATGTGTGTAGAAACGTTTGTTTCACCATCATGTCCATCGGATGGCGGAGCCTTTTCGCCTGTCAAACCGGCTGGGATTTCCCACGCAGATCGGCCCGGACCGCATCGGTGATCGGAGCTCCGAATGCGCGTTGCTGTGGCAACCCCGGCGTCCGTCGACGCCGTCACCAGCTCCCAATCAGAGCTCAGCTGCGGCGCAGGGACCAGCAGGGATCAGCGTTGTGTGCCCTGGCTCGCGCATGCGACTACTGCTGCCGTGCAGCTGAGGTCGTATTACAGAAACAGTAAGATTATCCCTTTGTATGATTGGCATTTTCGACCTTGTATTGTTTTTTTTTTGTCTCTCCTTCCTATTTGTTCATCGCCGAGCTGTTTCTAAACATTCCATTGCAAAGACAGCACTCCAGCGGCATTACTTTGCTGAGAAGGGCAGAAGTGCCCCGGAACGCTTACAGAATGGGTCAAACAGCGCCTTTCCTGTATGACGCCCATCGCGAGGATTCGAGGTTCCCAACGACCACTTTCGACCCAAAAGCTATTACTCGCGCCAGCTGGGAGCCCAAGCCGAAGAAAAAGCCCACCCCAAAGGGGCCTATGGTGTCATTTGATCTTCATCCTGAGTACGTGTGCCGAGCGAACATAATCCCTTTGGAACTTAGAGCTGCAAATTGACATTCGGTGTAGCTACCATGTAATCCTACCACACCGAAGAGACAATTATACTCCCTTGGACCGCCGCACCAAGGTTTACATCACATGGCTGCGTCGAGTTCAACTCGCGCTGCGAATGCTGCAGCTAATCGCCGGCATCGGCGTGTTGGTTCTCTTTTCCTTGTTTACGGGCGTTGATCAAACCACGTCTTGGGCAATGAGAATTCTGGTATGTATCACGCCTAAGAAGCATAACCTTTGCCTTGGTCCATGTAACGCGCAAAGGGATGATTCTAATGCGGTTAACAGCAAGCCGTAACAATTGCTCACGCCGCCTACGCTATTTGGCACCTTTCACGAGACGCAGGGGGCAGGACACCAGCATCCTCGGCCGCGTACCAGTTTTCTGCTATATTTGCGGACACGGGATCCGTGGTTGGATATACTCTAGGAGCGCTTGCCGTGCACAGGAATGCCGCTACTTGGGGTATCGTCCTCAGTAACAAGGACATTCTACCCGTTTTTACCCTCGCCGTGTTCTATGCGGCGATTGGTGCTGGTAGCACGCACGTACTCACGCTCTTTTCTTGTGCTTGGTTGGGGTGGATGTTCCGCAAGATTACCTTGCTGCCGCCGGATATGAACCCGCTCGAAGACAATTTGACGGCCCGGCCGCTGCACAAGCGAAACAAGTCGTCTATATCTACCGTAAGTACCGCTTATGAAACCGACAAGCCGTGGCTGGAAAGCCGGCGCAATTCGGCGAGCGTCTACGATGGCATCCCAGAGCGTGTCTCTATTTCGTTCATGCACACGAGGACTGAGTCTCGCGACTCTGGGATAAGCATGGGATCCCGAGCTACCGCTTCGCCTGAGCGCAAGAAGGCTCCGCTTAGATATCTGCCGCGCGCCTCGCATCCAAGTACATATACTTCAGTCCCCTCTGGCGAGCCAGAGCCAATGTCACCACGGGTCAGCGACACACTGAGGAATATCGCTGCCGAGGCCAGGAGGCCAGCGTCTGGATCATCTCGAGCAAATCAGTCCGAACAAGGCACGACTAACGCGGCGCGCTCCCATCGCTCTGCAGGCTCCAAGTCGTATGCTGCACTCTCCCAGCCCTACAGCATGGGCGGAATATCGTCCGATTCAGATTCTGAGCAGGATACCCTAGGCGACATCCTTCGGAAAAAAGGTCGCCTGGGCGCGGCACACCCCAAGCCTCTAACGTCGAACCCAATTCTTCCGAGGCCACTAAATACTCGCCGCGGCCAGATTGACGACGCAGCTCAGTACGATACCGTCTCTGATGAGTACGAGGAGCCTCCCAGCTGGACGAGTCAAGACATCAATGACCGGCTGCAGCCGAATGCGCAGTCCCAGCGGTATCGAGACAGTTCCATCCAGCTGGATAGCCACTTTGACACGAGGCCGCCAGGTGGAGAAGAGCCAGCCGCGCTCGGTGGTGGCCGCAAAGTTTCGTCCGGAAACGACTACTGGCTGAACAGCTCAGCTGCCCATGAGCGACGACGAGTGAGCGGGAAGATGGCCGAAGAGGGCAGGGCAGAAAGAGATGGTCGATCGCTGCTAAGCCCTTAGATGCGACAGAGCAGAGCAGGCCGAACCCCGCCATTACTGTAATGATAATTGATGCACGCAAGCACGTAGCTATTTTGGACATGCCTGGATATGAACCTTGTTTTTACGCTCCCGTACCCGATAGAACCGCTCTGATGCCTCGTTTCTTTGGTAAACCTTAACACTAATTCTTGCACTACCATCCCACTAACAAGGCAAAGAAAGCTGTCGGCACGCTCCGCAATTTTAGTGGGAAGAGAGATCCGAAAGCTCCGATTAAGAGATGCGCGCTTGTACCCTCGACCAGCTTTTGATGGCTTTCCACCGCTTTTGTCTATGTGTCCAACACTTGCTGCTTGGTACTCGGTACCGCCGGGAGTGGAAGCCACCAGGATCGCCCTACTTAAGCCAACCAACCACTCGCCGCGAAAGTTTGTTTCTCTGCTGGCTGGCCTTGTCTTATATCTGTGTGTGTATTTTTTTTGTGCCCTTTTCTTCTCCCCCTCGCTTTCGCCGTCTTTGCTAGGTCTCTCTCTCAGCGTCTTCCTCTCGTTTAATTGGCATTCTGTCGCCCAATTGACGTCCAATTGCTGCAGCCATGGCAGCGCTTCTCCCCATTCCCAGCGTGGACAGGCCCTTTGGCATCCACCTGTGGCCGCTCTTTAACAAGGCATTCGAGTATGTGGCAGGCTATCCTGCAGATAAGTTTGAGTTTGTCGTTGGCAAGACGCCCATGTCGACGCTGAGAGACACTTCCATTTTTGTCGCCATCTACTATCTCGTCATTTTTGGTGGCCGCGAGCTGATGCGGAACCGGGAGCCCTTCAAGCTGAAGACTCTCTTTCTGATTCATAATTTCGTCCTCACAGCGGTCAGCGCCATCATTCTGGCGCTTTTTATAGAGCAGCTATTTCCCACCATTGTTCGCCGCGGAGTTCTCCATGCCATCTGCGATTCTAACGGTGGCTGGACGCAGCCCCTCATCGTCCTGTACTACGTATGTTGACCCATATCTGCCTCTAGATACCTAGGGAGAACATAGCTAGTACAAGTTGCTTCAGATGCTAATTATGTATACGTGAAGATGACTTATCTCAGCAAATATCTGGAGCTTCTGGATACGGTTTTCCTGTTTCTCAAGAAAAAGCCCCTGACTTTCCTTCACTGCTACCACCATGGCGCAACGGCTGTCCTCTGCTACACCCAGCTCATTGGCAGCACATCGGTCCAATGGGTCGTCATTTCTCTCAACCTCTTTGTCCACGTTGTCATGTACTGGTACTACTTTCAGAGCGCCCGCGGCGTGCGCATCTGGTGGAAAGAATGGGTGACTCGCCTGCAAATCATCCAATTTGTCATTGACCTCGGCTTTGTCTACTTTGCGTCGTACACATACTTTACATTCACGTACTGGCCTTGGATGCCCAACTGGGGAAGTTGCGCCGGTAAGGAATTTGCCGCCTTTTCTGGTATTATTATCCTCAGCTCGTATCTTGTTCTCTTCATTTCCTTTTATTTTGCCACGTACGCAAAGAAAGGAAGCAAGGGTGCCGCTCGAAAGGCATCACGCAAGATTGCTGAAGAAACAGCACCGGCTCCTAGCGCCCTTGTCGACTCCATCACGAGCGAAAGCAACCCCATTGCCAACGGCTCTTCGACTCGGCCTCGGAGAGCAAGAAATTAGACCGGCAGCGCCAGTCAGTCAGTGTAACAGCAAGAGGTATCGAGTAGCTCATCAAGGAGCTGCTGTGGTAATGAGAGGGGAAAGATGGGTGTAATACAATTGTTAGATTATAGAACAGCATATCTACTAATGGCGGCAAGCGTAGATCAAGGCCCTGAGGATTGATAGCTAATCATTTAGTGTGTGTGTATAACAATGATTGGATGCAGGAGATGGATCAGGCGCGCTGGATAAGGGCTTGTCTGTTTGCCAGCTTTCTCATTCTGCTAATCTGTTCACATAAAAGTTCCATCTAAATGAAAGCAGTATATTCGTACACAACGTACAGCTACGTATATATATTATCATTATATGGAATAAATGTAACCTGACCTCTAACCAAAAACAGTTGTCTATCATTTTTCTTCGCCATCCTCAGCTTGCCCGGGCTCAGGATTCTCCTCGCTGATAATATCATTCCGCAGGTCTGGTAAAAATCGATCAACCCTCTCCCAAGTCTCGTCCCAGAGCTTCTTTCTTGATGCATCCTTTTCAGGAGACACCAGATAGCCGCTAGTAGCCATGAACAGGACAACATTTTTAAGATTTTCTCGTACCGCTTCGGCCTAGAAATAGAGATTAGCGTCTCATCCGCATACATGCAGCTTATGTGTTGGCGCCGAAAACTTACTAGGCTGTCACCTTGTCCGCTGTTCATTAGACGATCCATGATCTCAATGATCTTGATCCACAAGTCTAACATGCCATCCCACTCGGACAAAAGAACCATGTACTGTAAAAAGACTTTGCAGAGGAGCGAAGACACTTGGACGCGCATTTCGCTCATCCCATCTCTATCGGATGAAAACACTTCCGGCTTCAGGAGCCTAAAAATCAAGGGAAACAAAACTTGACTGAATATTGCCGTCCATTCCTTGGGATCACTACAAGTCAGATCAGGCGAGAGGAGGGATCTCTGCAACGCGGTGAATGAAAGTTGGCGAACATCGCGACAGGAGTTAGTGCATTGGGTCGTCAATGCCTGAAGAATAGGGAGCCAATAGGCTGACCAGGCTAATGGCAAATAAAAGTCAGTACCTAATCACGGCGCAGCCCCTACTATGTGCAAACTTACCCTCACTACTTTCTAGATGAGACTGTTGCATAAGCTGTGGAATTCGAGAAGTCATCCCATGCAAGGTATTAATCGCTTGGCAGCCTCTTGCTACTACTTGACTATCGCTGTATTTGAGAACGTTATGATCTGACCGCTTTTGATTCGGGACATTGTCAAGACTTACGCTTCGCGCTTGGTCGATTCATGCGCCTTAGAATCCCGAGTAGCGAGAGGGTCAGCCGCGGATGCAAAATGATTAAGCAATGCAATAGCTGCCTCATAGTTATCGGCCATAATGGCTGGTGGGGTTCCAGCAGTGCTCCTCTCTAGAATGTCGAATATCTGAGCAGCGGCACTGGCATCTCCTGCCACTACCCGTAAGATGGCCCAAAAATCGGGCGAAGTCATCATCTCGCTTCTCAAGGGGCCCGGGTCACGCGTGCAAATGGAAAGGCCAGAAAGTATGACACCTGCGGTCTTTAAAAGGAGGTCCTGTGGTAAGCTGGACACTGTATGTAAGAAAATTGGGACATTCACAAAATCATGGTCCTGTCGACTAAAGTTAGCAAGACAATCCAGAGCGGGATTCATCAGCAAGCATACATAACCCGATTTTAGTATTGCAAGGCCATAAAATGCTGCACGCGAGATAGTGATGCCATGCCACTGTCCGTAATCACGCAAGATGCCATGAACAGCGTCGAAAACTTGCTTCGCAGTGTCTGAAGTTGAACCACCGTCACGGATAGTTAAAATGGTGCAGAGTTCGAGAATAAAGGGCGTAGAAGGGTCGTATATGGGTAAGTGTGTTGGTAGAGCCGGTCCAGTAGGGGGAGGGACTGCCACATTGTCCTGCTTTACGCCAATCACAGCTGAATGGTCGCTCTGCGGCAGCTGCTCGAGTAAAGACTGTATCAATATGTCAATGCGTTCCGTAGGTAGTTTGCTATGACAGAAATTAGCAACGTGCTGATGAAGCAGGAGGGGGTTTCATTAGTACTCACGAGATATTGTTCAGCACTTTGTCGATGTTGCAAGAATTAATGCAGTCAACGGTACATAACGTGCTCTCAAGTTCTTCGTCTGAAGGTTCCGGGGGATCGTCCGCGGCATAGCTAGATATGTATGAGGTGAACGCTGAGAAAAACCCAATATCGCTAGATCGTGCCGCCCTATCTATGACTTGTGAGGGAGTCTGTAGAGGAATAACCGGGATTGGCAAGGTTGGGAGGTCAGTTGATGATAGCGGTGGTGCCAGGGAATTCAAAAACAGATGGATCCATATCTGAATAATCTACGAATAGTTAGCTTAACGGCCATTGCAGACCCTGAGAAAAGATACTGACATGTTTCCATCCCTGGTTAATGAGAGCTTCGCTGCCGATAACAACTCGAAATAGTACGAGAACGGCAAGCTGCGCACGAAAATCTCTGCCAAGCTTCACAGCCAGCTCACTGACCATGACGCTACCGTCGCCTACTTGAACCTCTGTGTTTAATGATGTGTTGAAGGGCACGCGAGTAGCCAAGGTAGTAATACGGCTGAGGCAGTAAACGATCTGGTCAAGCGCTTCGACATTGCCATATTTGGTTGCAATGCGAGCACATTCATCAAACCCAGTCACAATCCTTGCAAAAACAGCATCATCAGTCGCAGACATAAAGACATACGACAGAGCTGAAACAACTGGCTTCCAGGTAGCGGCAAACATATCGCTATCATATATGTTCGTGTTGCAGGAGGATAGATGGCCCGCTGTTTCAGACTTCAAGAGAAGCTCTCGCCATGCATAGTCAAAGGCATGCTGGTTGTCGTGCTCATCAGGCAGAATAATCTCGTTTGATTTAATGGTTTCGTAGATATCTTTGAGATATTCTGGTGAGAAATCTTGCCCATTGTTCTGCCCTCGCAGATTCCTAGAAAAGTCGTTCAATGTCATCCTTTTCATAGATTTCACATTGGGATTATGTTGGTCGGTGTTTAAGAGGATAATAGCGTATGTCAAGATAAAGACAGCGTCTTTGTTCGCCACCTCCGACGTCGCGTTGCAATCGTAGTATTTCTCGGAGAAAGACTCAACCACGGCTGCGATCAGCGGTGCTTCGCCCGGCAATCGAAAGGCTTCCAGTAGCACCCTCAAAGCTTGATCAATCCGTTTGCCGGAAAACTCAAACAAGTCTAAGAAGGCTCCCAAAATAGCTTCATTGCCTCTTTTCGATAGAAAATCTCCTAATACCGCCTTTGATATGCGTGACGTCCCTTTGAGGAATTTAGCCACAGAAACAGGATCTCCGATATCAGTTATGATATTGTTTGCCTCAAGATAGCTCAGCCCCACCTTTGGCTTCTCATTAAACTTGCTCGTCCCTATAATGATGGTCTTTTTTCTCCGCCTTCTCTCCCTGAGCATATCAGGATCAGGGAGATTTTCGTAGATAGGGTCATCATGCAGTCTCTCCGCCATGAACTGGACAAAGCGCAAGAGTGCGTCTAAGCAGAGAGGCGGTACACTTGTAGTACTCCATGTAGCTGAGTCTGGCAGGGCGTTTCGCGCAAGAAGTCCAATCACATCCTCGCATAGATCTGACCTATCTTCGTCGCAATCGTAATTGACAAACAATTCGGTAGCAAACGTAGGTATCCTAGATAAAACACCGATGGCCTCTACCATAGCTTGCCGCGCATCGGGTTTACGCGCACCCCCCTCTAACCCTAGCTTTTGTCGGTCTTTTACAGGAACGGGCGTTGACCTTCCACTATTTGACTGTGACGGCGGCGGTTTGACCAGCTTCGGGGTCTCAGGAATGCCGGAGTACAGCGATGGGTCAATGCCAGTCTCGCGGGGGATATGAATTGTCGGGTGAAGGCAGGCCACCAAATAAGACAAAAAGAGTTCCTGCTGCAATTTGAGGACGCCTCGACATGTTGCGAGTAGCGTTCCAGTGACCGTTAAAGATTCTTGTAGGATAGCCATGTTATCGGATCGGACAAGTTGGAAAAGATAGCAACACAGCTGATCTTTAGCAAGAGTGGCCAATGCAGGATGGCGTGCAATGAAAGGTCCAGACACCTCCAACGCAACGTGTAATATGCGTAAAGCCACTACCCTCATTGTATCCGTATGGTGGCGGTCATTGGGGTCCAGAAAATTAACTAAAACTCGAAACAGTTCCCTGACGGAAGGTAGCGAGTAGGGCCGTAAATCCAGTGATTCTGTGTCACTCTCTCCATTCTCTTCGTTGGCATGGTTGCTCACAGAGCCTTCCTCTGCCTTCTCGTTTCCAGTGCTATCTGAAGCCTCCGGAGAAGGCTCGTCTTGGACAGTGGCGGAGATTATTGGATCTGCAACGGTACTACCGGCGGTGGTATCCATTTTGACATTGTCCATGTGCTGGTCAACCAACTGATCCATGACTGAAGAATCGTCTCCGACCTCGACCTCCAGGTGCTTAATATCTTCAAATATGATTTGGCACATTCGAACCATGACGGCTTCGGCTGTCCTCCTTAGCACAGGGGAGAATCGAGGTTGAGAGCATATAGCCAGGCCACGCCCCATCATATCGCAAACACTCTCATCACTTAATATGTAGCCTCCAGGTCCAGACATCATGTCCTCCATTAAGTTGAGAATCATAAGCAGTACAACCTCGCCCTGGGCCGAATCGCTTATATCGAATTGACAGTGGGTAACAGCGGCTGAGAGTGACTGCATCGCGAGAGCAAAACGAGGGGACTCCGAACAAATGAAGCCGTAAGCTAGGAATTTTCGTAATGCCCCAAGAGCCAAGATTGTAATCGGTGCTGCTGTTCCCTTCTCTTGGATGACGAAGAGAAAGGGTGCTAAGAGTGTTGGCGCATCAAATGAATGAATATCTATTTACCATTAGCTGGCGGCAAATGGTATGGCAAGATGAAGCTAATACACACTCTGGACACCTGTGATCTCATAACGAAGCTTGCCAAAGCCTGCGACCATGGGGCTATCCTGCAAACTCTTCGCCTTCTGGCCGCGAAAGCTCCATCGATTGCTGGCCGTTCCGTCATGCTCGCTCTCTCCAAAGGGGCTGCTAACGCCACTTTCCCGCGGTTGGGGCTGTATTTTAGGGGATCCGAACTGTATGGTATTGGGATTCCCACCCAGAATGGCAGAGACAGATTGGGGGGAGCGTGCATGTTTCTGAATGGCCGAGGTGATGGCTATACATTCAGATATAACCAGTGAAACGGGTTCAACAGCGACGGACACAGGGCGGCTTCGATATTGCATTCTCGGAATTTCGTGATGCGGTGATAGCGTTGCAGGAAGCCCGCTATGAATCGGCGAAGGCAGTGCCATATTCGCAAAGCATTGGGCGTTTGCCAACTAAGTATTCACTTCTAGTTATGACATTAGCCAACGAGAATCGCTAAGAGAGGCGTCAATAGTAGCGACCGAAGAAATCAAGCAGCCAGTACCTATTACCTATAGGGCAGGGGACAAGGCTCAAGGCCAAGGAGAGCGAGCAATGACACCTATGCTACCCACTGCAGCAATCTAGAGGGGAGCATGTGAAGTGCCTGCCTTAGTATGGCTTAGTCACCAAAAGCACAGTGTTTGCTGGCATATGAAATCAGTACATTGAATTCGAGTATAATTAAGCATTTTCGGTAGAGATACATCATAACGAATTAAATTTCAATTGAATTAGATAATGCTCTAAACTTATTGCCCGAGTATTTGAAAACTCCGTATTATTCTAGCTGGAAGTATACAGGCATGGCCAGTGGAACATATTCAAAGAATACTGTTACACGTGGCTTTCTTAGACACTGTGTTCTGCTCTCTACACTGTGTACTAAATTGCTAATGACATTTTCCGTCGCGTTGAAAATACAGACGCCACAACTGCCAACTTCCCACCTTCAACGCTTGTTGCGCGTTATCCCGGCAAGCTAGACTGTTCTCCCCCATTTTCTTTTCCAGTCATTTGAGGTGAGACGCGTAGCAATGGATGACTCTACAGCCTATGACTCTCCGGGAAACGCGATATCGCCAGATCCCAACTCTGCGCTTGCACAGCCGCCATCGCAAACCAATGCCAAAGGCTTGGATTCTCAAGGTGAGCAATCATATACGGCTTGTAAACCAATTACCTTGCGTCTAACGAATCCTACAGATGTGCAGATGTCTGAAGAGTCTTCAAGCGCCGAACATGTTCCACAGAGCGGCGGAAGTCCTACGGCCAGTGCGGCTGTAGACAACTCAGGCGAGGTCCATGGTGATACTCCTGCGCCAAACACCACTCGCCTCGATGAAGAGATGGGCGATGTATCCGAGGACGCAAAGGGTCTGCCCGCCGGGTCGACTAGCGCTCCAGTAGCATCGAGCACTGGAGTAGAAACCAAAACGAAGGAAGCGTTTGAATCCGCTGCTAGAGACCATCTCATCTCTCAGACGCATGCCATCGTCCTACCAAGCTATAGTACCTGGTTTGACATGAACAGCATTCACGAAATTGAGCGCAAGGCGATGGCCGAGTTTTTCAACAATCGGAATCGAAGCAAAACGCCGGCAGTCTACAAAGACTATCGCGACTTCATGATCAATACGTACCGACTTAACCCGGTTGAATATCTCACGATGACGGCATGTCGCCGAAACCTAGCTGGAGATGTTTGTGCCATAATGCGCGTTCATGCGTTTCTTGAACAATGGGGCTTGATCAATTATCAGGTGATTTCAGCTATCCAACTTAATTCGTTTAATTTCTACCACTGACACTTGCACTATAGGTTGATGCTGATCAACGACCATCACATGTTGGGCCCCCTTTTACAGGCCACTTCAAAATTATATGCGACACACCACGAGGACTTCAACCTTGGCAGCCTGCCGCCGATCCTGTTGTTCTGGAGGGCAAAAAGAATCGTGACACCGAAGAAAAGGCGAGCTCGTCGGTCCCTAACAAAGGCGACTTGAATTTGGGAATTGGCCGGAATATTTATGAAGCCAGTGCTAAAGGAACTCCGATCACAAAATCAGAAGGCCACAAGAACGGCGATGACATTTCTACCGAGGAGAGCGCAAAGGCTCCCGTGGCCAAGGTCAACTGCCACCAATGTGGAAACGACTGCACTAGGATATATTATCACAGCTCCCAATCGGATGCCAGGGCGAAAGCCAAATTCGATTTATGCCCAAATTGCTTCACCGAAGGCCGATTACCTGCGAGCCACACCTCTAGCATGTATTCTAAAGTGGAAAATCCAACGTATACATCCATTTTAGATCGAGATGCACCATGGACTGATGCGGAAATCCTTCGACTTTTGGAAGGGTTGGAGCGATTCGACGACGATTGGGGAGAGATTGCAGAGCACGTGGGTACCCGCACCAGAGAAGAATGCGTACTTCAGTTCCTTCAACTGGACATTGAAGAGAAGTACCTCGATTCCGAGGCACCTACAAACCCACCTACGGGCTTACCTATGCTGGGAGGTCAACACGGCCACCTCCCTTTCAACCAGGTGGACAACCCTGTTATGTCTGTCGTGGGCTTTTTGGCAAGCTTAGCAGACCCAGCTAGCACTGCGGCGGCGGCAAACAAATCAGCGGACGAGCTCAAGCGTAATCTGCGAAAACAACTTGAAAGAGCAAACCAGACAGACAATGCCGAAGCAGCAGACAAGAAAGAAACTGAAGTGGATAAGGCAGAGTCTATGGACCTGGATTTCCGGCAGACAGTCGTGACCACGACTACTACTACATCAACAACAAAGACTTCTCTTGCATCTATTCCTTTGGCCTCCATTGGCGCTCGTGGGGCCGTATTTGCGTCTCATGAGGAACGAGAAATGACTCGATTAGTCTCGGCAGCTGCCAACGTGATGCTCCAGAAACTAGAGTTGAAGCTTAAATACTTTGACGAGATGGAAGAGCTACTGCGTGAAGAACGTAGAGAGTTAGAACGTGGCCGACAACAGCTATTCTTGGACAGGCTCGCCTTCAAAAGACAAGTACAGACTGTCCAAGACACATTGCATGCAGCCGCTGAGGCAGGTGGAGTGCAAGGGTCTCGAATGGCGCAGGATATTGCGATGGATAGCGAGAAATTGGGGTTTCAGACCGTAGTGGATGGCCAATCAATGTTGCCACCCACCGGCAACGGCCAGGTGAAAACATTTGAAGCATAAAAGGCTTATCAAAGCCATCTTGGTCAATCGAGCAATCACGGCGCAGGTCAACATCTGGAAAGTTTCGGAGTTGGAGGGGTTGGAAAGTAAGCAATTACTAGGCACTTGCTAACTTGATAATGTATGGGCTGAGGAGTTTGGGATACTACTATGCTACGAAAGAGGATGAAACTCTTCACTTATTTTCTGGACGAATGTACTAGTATTAGTACCAGTATGTAAGGACAGATGTAGTACAATGATTTATCTATTTAACTTAACACAGGTTTATTCGCATCCCGTTTAAAATGTGAAGGTAGCACGATGTGATTCGTTATCGGCCACGCCTCAGACGTAGATGTACTTTTTCTTGCGTCATCTGCGAGTGCTGCTAAGACGTAGTTTAGGTACCTGCTACTAACGTCCTCGGCGCTCTTAAGCTCCACGTCACAGCTTCCTAGCCCCACCAGAGTCCTTTAGCAGCAGGTCCTCATCAAGGTAATAGTGCTCCCTTTCTGCAAGCCAAGGTCTCACTCTATCACGAAACTCAAGAAGCATCTCGCGACTGCACACTCAGAATTTGAGCCCTAGATCTTCCAATGTCAAGCGCTAGGGGTCAATACCGCCGTGCCTCTCTCGAGGACGACGATCTAATTGATCCGGATGATGGTAAGCATTGAGTCTAAGCCGTTCGACGTAGAACAGCAGAACAGCAGAACGCGAAGCTAATGCGATAAACCAGCGGATCTCAACGACTTCGACGACCCTCTGGCTCCAGAGTCATCTAGGCAGCCTTTAACAAACACCATTACATCTGGAGGTTCGGCATCGGGACGGCTGGACGAGGGCTATCTCACTTCTCGCATTCCTGGAGATGATCGGAGAGCGCCTCAGAACACCATCGATGAAACCGTGTGGGAGACACTGCGGCGTGATCTGCTAGCTGTGTGGGCCAAGCTCAAGGAGGTCTTATACCCGCGATACCTTTTTGGCGGCACTATGTTCGACTCAGAGGGCGGTTTTCGTGGTGCATATTCCAACATACGCGGCGCTGGCTTGACTGGCACAAGAGAAGAGCTCACTGGACTGGCCAGTCGGGTCATGGATGCCGAGGCTCTATTGCAGAGCAACATGAGCCCAGGCCTCAGAGACTGGGATCTATGGGGCCCATTGATCTTCTGCTTGCTACTCAGCTTATTGCTTAGCTTTACGGCGCGATCCGACCAGAGAGACGCTGTTTTTAGCGGCGTTTTCGCAACCATATGGCTTGGCGAGGCGATTGTGACTCTTCAGATCAAACTTTTGGGAGGCAATATGTAAGTTCAATTCACAGCGGCAGACTTCCTTAGCCAGTGGTGGCATTGAACTAACACAAAACGACAGCTCTTTTGCCCAGAGTATTTGCATTATTGGGTACACGTTGTTTCCTCTGGTAATTGCTGCCCTCTTGTCAGCTCTGAAGCTTCATTGGATTGCGCGGATACCGGTCTATGTCGTTCTTATCGCGTGGTCCATCGCTGCTGGCGTCAGCATTCTTGGCGGTAGCGGGGTGGTCAAGAACCGGGTGGCCATTGCTGTCTATCCCCTCTTTGTGTTTTATCTAGGGCTGGGGTGTCTATGCTTCATTAGCTAAAGTCGTGCGGCAGCTTGATGGATGGTCGGGTCTTGCTTTTAGAATGCGAGGGCTATGTGAGCTGCAAAAGAGGAATGATTTTCAAGAAGAATGGAGCCCATAATGGTACCGGCAAGCATTATTATCTGCATTATATATTACATCATTTCAGACTCTATATTGAATCAAAGATACACCACCAACATGGCATCTAGCATACAATAGATTTACGGCAAAGTGCTCGTAGCTGCGGAAACAACTCTGGTAACTTATGCGCAGCCATTAGTGAAACAACTATCCAAAGCGAATAAACGCTTTCTGGGTATAATCCTGAATCGCACTATAGGCTTGGCAAATATTGACGGCTATACAATATTTACCCAGGACGCTCTACAAGCAATTCCTTATCTTGCTTGGTAATTTGTTAGCTTGAAGTTGTTAGCTTGAAGTAGAACTACAAGTAGGTATATCATTCTTCAGTGCTTGCGCAGTCACGAGCCCGAAAAGAGCTAGACAAACTTGGCAACTCCAATTACATAAACATCAAGCATTATCCCTTTTAGAGCAAACCAGCAATAAGCCTGCGGACATGACAAGTTTCCTAGGACGTGAAAAGTGATGTCGGACGGCGGCCGGCCAAGATTGAGCGGCTCCAATACGCGCAAACGCGGTCATATGCAAGGTACCTTGCCAGACCTCTTTTGATCATGACCCCTCTTTGCCTTCTTAGGCGCAAGTGTGGGGACTTGTAGATTTCTGTACTCAGTAGCGTGTCTACAGCGAGACAGTACTCGCTAGGTACCTGACTCCCGGAGCAAGTGATAGCAGGTGCCCACGTCTTTAATTGGTACTGCAGCCAGCCGGGCTGACCACCTCCAACTACTATCGGCACAAAATTGCTGCGGCGCGATAACGGCAAACGCAAGAGTACAGCGTTGATATTGCAAATTGCAATCTGCCGCCCTGCCGCCTTGTCCTTCTGCCTGTAATTACAGCCGTATTAAGGTATCCGATCTGGACGCCGTCTAAGTCGCGCGGTTATGCGCGAGCAGCCGCCGCTGCCTTATCCTAGCTGCAAATCGACTCTACCAGCCAACCCCATCTTTCGCGATCGACATCACCCGCCCTTTTCTGGCTACCTCTGCCCACGCCATGGCCGACAACTCTCAAGGGACAGCCAGTCCTAAGAATGAGCAAATCTACCCAGAAGTAGGCGAAGACGCCGAGACGCGCGCTGCCCGCCGAGAACTGAAACAGTCCTCCATATCTGACCCTCCTGCCGCCGCTCGCGACCTCGGATCCGATCCAGTAGATGAGGGAGCGGCACGCCCCGACACTCCAACCGACCAAGTATCCGATGGCCAAGATGATAGATTCAAGGAGCATGTGCCGTCTCCAAAGAAGAAACGCGCACACGACCAGTTAGATGGAAGCATAGACCTCGAAAATAACGATACCAACAGTGTTACATCTACAGAATCTACCAGAGATCGAGCTTCCCGGTTAGAGCCAGAAAAAAAACGACATCGTGATGAGGACTCAACAAGAGAGGTATCGGTATGTGATCTCTTTTCAAACCTCTTATGAACCCCCCTTTGCATCTCGCATATCTAACGCATGGCTACACAGAAATCCTCGTCAACAACAGACCTGCCGCTAGCCACAGATGATACAGCAGGCTCCAAAACTTCTCCAGCTAAAGTTTTGCCACAAACGTCTTCCAGCGCTTTTCAAGCCTCAGACTTCGGCAAACTTGCTACTGGATCCTCGCCATTTGCGAGTTTGGGCACAACCCAGAGCAGTATCTTTGCTTCTCCAGCTGCTGCGTCGACTTTACCACCAACCTCTGTGTTCAGCGCCCCGGGATCACAGCTTCCGCCGTCTACTATGCCTAAATTGACTTTTGGAAGTGCTAACAGTGCTTCACCTTTCGCTAGCCTTGCTTCAGGGATTAATGGAGCTGGACTTGGCTCTCCATTCGCAGCCAGCAAAGGTCTGGACAGCTTCGCATCACCCATGGCCAAACAAGTTCAGAGCGAAAGGCCTGCAAAGCCATTTGGAGCTCCGGAGAGTGATGAAGAGAGTGGAGATGAAGCAGACGCAGTCGCAGATGATGAACCCGAGCCGAGTGAACAAGAGGGAGCTACACCACTAGAGAAGGAATCGGAGGAGAAGAAGAAGATCAAACTCCATAAAGGTGAGAAAAGGCCCTATTGCGAATTTTTTTTTATTCATTCAAAGTTGGAGGACTAATATGGATAATGCTCTAAGTCGAAGTTGATGACGGCGAAGCAGGTGAAACAACCCTGCTTTCTGTCAGAACAAAGCTATTCTACCATGACAAAGAGGCGGGCTGGAAGGAACGAGGCGCTGGGATGTTGAAAATCAATGTCCCGCAGGGCTGTATTGAGTTTGATGAAAATGGAGCACCTGTTCTTGGATCATTTGATGCGTCCGGTCTTGAAGCTGATGAAGAGGGGGGTGAAAAGACACAAGATCATAAAGTTGTCCGTCTTCTTATGCGCCAAGATCAGACACACCGTGTGATTCTCAATACCGCCGTTCTCCCGGCTATGAATTTCCAAGAAAAGGCATCGCTCAAATCTGTGGGAATACTGTTTACTGCTTTTGAGGGCGAGCAGGCGAAGCCTGTGAGCATCACATTGAGGGTCAGTTTTGCTTGAGTTCTTCACATATATCATTGCACGTGGACACTAATCCCTGCTCATAATAGATGTCGGCTGCAAGCGCTAAGAGCTTCTTAAAGGAGATTAGCAGTATCCAGAAAGAACTCCGGGGCAACTAAAGCCCACGGCAAAATGTTTGCACCAACAGCGGCTTAGTATCGGCAGCATAGAGTGGTGTAGAGCGAAGGTGGCCATACCATGATTGGCCATGGCCATTCCGTGTCGCTCTGAAATAGGCAGAGCAAGTATTAGGGTAAGTTGCCCGTTGGCGCTCTGCCCAAGGGGCAAAATTTGCATGACCGTTGCAAGCTTATACCTGATGTGACCGACAGCCATATAGACTGGAAGTGAGGATAAGGCAAGGAAGATCGGGCGTGTATAGTACTTTAGGGATACTCTAGACATGTCAAACGGGACGATGTTCCCAACAATAATACCATTATAAGCACAATATGAGATAATCACTATTTATTGGCAAAAGTTTGCAGTTCTTGGAACCAATACCCAGAAACACTTATACGGCGAAAGCAACAAAAAAGACGCTTATAGAGGCAGCTAAAGCACGTGATTTTGCGTTAGTTTCGCGATTCTTAGCTCGACATTCAGAGCGTGAACAACCAATCAGTGATGGCTCTCGCGGCTAACTACCTACCTTGGCTACAAATGATAATGCTGTCTTCATCACTGTGTCTACCAGAAAACCCAAAGACTGATCCGCTACTGTTTGCCATCTGTTCTTTATCCTTTTGTTGAGATGATTCGGTAACCAGTTTGATGACGGACATTTGAAAGCTGGGTCTTCCGGTTCCCATCTATCAGGTCCAACCATGGAACATAACGCGACGCTGCATCTAGCCCCAGATGGATCGAAATCTTTGGTTGGGCGGAAGCGCATCCATGAGGATACCTCTCCTGTAGGCGAAGACACACGCCGTGATACCTCTGCTACTGTTTCGAAGAAACCAAGGGCGAAAAAACGAGTTGCTCCAAAAAGCGAGGGCCGGAAGGACGACTCAGAGAACTCTATCCCATCCAATATTGCTTGGAGTGATACTTTTCGTGACCTTGAAAAGGCTCATAAAGCATTGAATCTGGTCTATACATTTTGCTCTTCGCGCAAACATGTCATCACGACATTTGATACCCTTAAATCAGCCGTTGAATGCCACATAAAAAGAACCCTATCTATTGCGGATGTAGCTCAAATGGTTGCCCTTCGCCCAGAAGCCATGAAGTTCGAATACACCAATGAACTCATGCTGCAACTCAACACCAGGGGCGCTCAAAGGGACGACGTCTTCAAGTCGTCGCAGTCTGCAATGTCGCAAGCGCCAGCACACGATTCGTCTGTCGGTGGGCTGACGGGAAACGAACGTCTTGGCGACGATACCAACGATCAAGTTACTTCGCATGAGCAAGAAGTGTTATACTTGGAATTCACCGATGCTGATTTGAAGCGACAAGTGTTAGATAGAGAGACGGGTGAAGCGACACGGCCGACCACCAAACTAAGAAATGAGAAACTGAAAATGCCAGTATATGGTCAAAAGCAGATGATGCAGTTAATCGAACGACGCAACCAAAAGTTTGCGGATTCTATCAATGAATTTCTCAAGAGCTGTATCAACGACGTTGTTGATCCAGAGGAGGCTTTACGTCAAAAGGCTGAGGCCTATATTCCCAAGCCGGCGTTGAAAGATATTGATGCAAACAAGCTCAATGAAAGTGCCATACCTGATGCCATCCCTCATGAAAGGGGGAGTATATCAGAAATAGTGCTTCAAATCAAACAAAGCCCGTGGTACTCAGGCCAGATTGTACCTGATGGCCATAGAGTATTTGAACCCCAGAGTCCCAGCTATGGAAGTCTCAATTTTTTGCTGTCTCAAGATCTAGTGAACGCCCTCTATAATGCTAAACGAATCACTCAATTTTACACGCATCAAGCCGAGGCTCTGAATAGTCTTTACGAGGGGCAGAACATCGTTATATCGACCTCAACCAGCTCTGGGAAGTCATTGGTCTACCAACTGCCAGTCTTACACGCCCTAGAACGGGACAGAAGCTCAAGAGCCATGTATATATTCCCAACCAAAGCACTTGCGCAGGATCAAAAACGCAGTCTCAGCGATCTTTTGGCATTCATGCCAAATCTTAACGATGTTCTTGTTGATACTTTTGATGGAGATACCCCCATGAGCCTTAGGGAAACTATTCGGGATGAGGCAAAAATCATTTTCACCAATCCAGATATGCTTCACCTCACGATATTGCCTCAGGAGCAGAGGTGGAGGACTTTTCTTAAACATTTGAGATTTGTAGTTGGTCAGTTGTTTAAATACACATTATCGAGTCCTCTTTAGCTAACAATCCAAAAGTTGACGAACTACACTACTACAATGGTCAACTCGGATCTCATGTTGCGTTTATCATGCGAAGACTAAGAAGGATATGCGAGGCAGTGGGAAATCGACACGTTCAGTTCATTTCTTGCTCCGCTACTGTAGCCAACCCCGAAGAGCATTTCAAACTGATATTTGGAGTTTCGAATGTTCGTCTAATTGACTATGATGGGTCTCCATCTGGGCGAAAGGAGTTTCTTTGCTGGAACACTCCTTTTAGAGAGCCCGGCGACCCCACCAGCGGACGAGGAAACGCCAAATTCGAATGCGCTCGTATATTCTGCGCTCTCCTACTAAGAGGTGTCAGGATTATTGCCTTCTGTAGGGTTCGTGCCCAATGTGAAGTCTTGACCAGTGCAATCAAGCAAGAGCTGCGCGAACTCGGTCGCCCAGAATGCACCAACTTGGTAATGGGTTATCGTGGTGGCTATACGGCCCGAGACCGGCGGAAAATCGAAGCGGAGATGTTTGAGGGAAAGTTGCTGGGCATTGTTGCAACCACGGCGCTGGAACTCGGTATTGATATTGGCACTCTGGATTGCGTTCTGACTTGGGGCTTTCCTTATACTATTGCAAACTTACGACAACAGAGTGGTCGAGCTGGGCGGCGCACCAAAGACTCGTTATCCATCCTAGTTGGAGATAGCTTTCCAACGGATCAGCATTATATGAACAATCCCGATGAGCTCTTTTCAAAGCCCAATTGCGAATTGCGCGTGGATTTGAAAGATATTCTTGTTCGCGAAGGTCATATACAATGCGCGGCATATGAGATGCCCATTCGACAAAACGAGGACGTGCAATATTTTGGGAACGATTTGCCTAAGATCTGTCTCGAACGGTTGGTGGAAGATGAAGTAGGGTACTTTCACTGCCATGACCGCTTCCGTCCCAACCCCGCCCAGTATGTCGCCATTCGGGATACAGAAGATGAGCACTATGCCATCATTGATATAACAAACGAGAAGAACGAAGTCTTGGAAGAACTAGAGGCATCGAGAGCGACGTTCACTATATACGACGGTGCCATATTCCTCCACCAAGGCAACACATATCTCATTCGAGATTTCTTGCCAGACCAAAAGATGGCTAAGGTTGAAAGAGTTCATGTTGAGTGGACGACCATGCCACGAGATTACACCGACATCGATCCTATTGAAATCGAGGCTATTCGTGCTATATCCGGATCACCCTGTCATGCCTACTACGGAAGCATAAAGATTCAGCAAACGGTGTTTGGTTTCTTCAAAGTAGATAAGAAGGGACGAATCATAGATGCAGTACATGTCGATAACCCGCCTGTCATACGATACAGCAAAGGCATGTGGATAGATATACCTCGACAAGTACTTGAGATACTACAGGATCTGGCTCTAAATGCGGCTGCAGCGATACATGCAGCTGAGCATGTCATTATGAGTTTACTGCCCGCATTCGTTATCAGTCTTCCAGGAGACGTACGGACAGAATGCAAAGTAGCTCTTAAGGAATTTGCCACGAAAGAAACAAAAAGGAAGCGACCAGCCCGATTAACATTCTACGATGCCAAAGGAGGCATAAATGGATCTGGTGTTAGCACAAAGGCTTTTGATCACATTGATCATCTACTAGAGCGAGCATTAAAAAGGGTAGAAGAATGTTCCTGCCAGCAAGGTTGCGTTGAATGCGTGGCATCCGAGATATGCAAATATTCCAACGAAGTCATAAGTAAAGTTGGATGTCTTATTATTCTTCGGAGCCTGCTAGGAGCAGATATAAGACTAAATAACTTACAGCTGGATTATAACAGTAGGCTCTCTAGTACTGATATAATAACTGTTACAGTACCAGTTCCTGTAAAATTAAAACAATAACTATTTCTAAGAATACTATAGCTAATAAATAATTATAAAGGATATTTATTTATATTATTAAGATTTATTTCTAATATTTTTTTCCTTTAGAAGTTTATTAAACTTTTTAAATTTAATATAAAAAATAATTATATTTAGTTATTAAGTTTAATTAAAGAAAGTTTTAAAAAGCTAGTTAAAGTTTATATTTAAGTAATTTTTTAACTTAAAAGTTACTAGTTTTTTTATATAAATATATTAAGTTAATTTAATTAACTTAGCTTTCTAATAAATACTTATATAAAATTTATATTTAATTTATTAATTAAATAATTAAGTAAATAAAAAAATTTAAAGGAAATATTATTTTAATTTTATAAAGTTTAATAATATTAATTATTAAATTATTTATTAAACTTAAAATAAATAAAGTTTTTATATTTAAAAATAATATTTATTAATTATTTATTTAATAATATTATATATAAAAGGTAATAAATAAAAAACTTTTAATTTTTTAATAAAATATAAAAATTAAATAATTATTTTAGTAATTTATTATAAGCTTATATAATATTTTCTTATTAATATAAAGCTTTTTTATAATTTTTATAATATATTTAATTTAATTAATTTAAGTTTTTTAATAATTATAAACTTAAGTAATATATTTTATTAAAATATTAATAACTTTTATTATAATTTAATATATAATTAATATTTATATAATTAAAAAAAATTTATTTTATAAAATATAATTTTTTTAATATTTTACTTTAAAAAAAATAATTTATTAATTTATTAAATATATAATTTTATTTATAAAACTTTTTTAAATTTATAATATTAAATATATTATAAATTTTTATAAATAAAAGTAATTATAAATAATATATTAAGTTATTAATATTAATAATTTTTTTATTTAATATAAGCTTATATATTTCTTTATAAATTTTTTATTAAATTAATATAAATTAAAATACTTTATTAAAATTAAAATTCAATTATTAATATTAAAAAAAAATTTATTTATTTTTTATTATATTATTTATAATATATTTTATTAAATTTTTAAAGAAATTTTATAATTAAATTTTTAATATTTTATATTTTTTAAACTTTATATAAATTATTTTAATTTATATTTAATAAAATAATCTTATTTATTTTAAAGTTTATTAATTAAAAATTATATAATAAATAAATAAAGCTTTTATTTATAATTAAATATTTAATTATAATATATATAAACTTAATTAATAGTAATTTATTAATTTAATTTAATTAATTTTTATTATAAAAAGCTTATAAATAATATTTAAAGTTTTAATTTTATTTTTTAATTTATTTATTAATTTAAAAGTAAAATATAATATTAAATTATTACTTATATTTTAATAAATAATAAAAACTTTATTAAAATATATTTATAAATATACTTTTTTTAATTAAATATATTTTTACTTAAAACTTTAAATAATTAAAATATATAATATAAAAACTTTATAATTAATATATTATTATTAATATTCTTTAAGTTTAAAATATATAAAAAATATTTTATAAATTTATCTATTATAATTAATATAAAATTATAAGTTTTTTTATTTTTAATAACTTTTAATAATTTAATAATAAAATTTATAAAAAGTTTTTCTTAAAGTTTTTTTTTATATTAATAATATAATTAATTTATTATAAAATTAATAATATTATATTTTATTTATTTAATAAGTTATATATATATTAATATAATTTTTTATATTTTAATATAGTTTTTTTTAAAAATAAATATTAATAATATATATAATTATTTTATTAACTTTGTAATATTTTATTATTAAATTATTATAAAATAATATAAATATTTTTTTATAATATAATAATTAATTATTTTTAATTAATTAATTATAAATTTAATTTTTATTTTTAATTATAATATTAATTACTTTTATTTAATATATTTTTATAATTTAAGTATATTTTTTTTATATTAAAAGTAATACTTTATAAAAAATATATTAATTCTTTTATAATATTATAATAATATTTTTATAAATTATTTATTTATTTATAATTAAAATTCCTAAGGTTATATATTAAAAATAAAATATTTACTTAATTATAATTAAAACTTTTTTAATTTAAAAAATTAATATTAAATATAATTTAATATTTAAGTTTTAATTATTTTTTAAAAATATATAGCTTTTAATAATTTTATTTATAAAGCTATTTTAATTACTTTTAAAAAAATTTTAATTATTATTTTTTTATTATTTTTAATAAAATATTTAATAAATATAATTAAATTACTATTATTAAATATTTTATTAATATTTTTAAGTTAATAATTTACTTACTTTAATAATATATTTATTAAGTTTAAAATTTTTAATTTATATTTAATTAAAAAATTATATAGTATTAATAATATTAATTATAATACTTATTTTATAAAAAGCTTTTTTTTTTATAATTAAATATTTATAATTTAAGTGAATTATAATAAATTAAATTAATATTTTTAAATATATTATATAATATTTTTAAATTATAAATATTTATATAATAATTAATATTTTTTAATTAAATATAATATATTTTTATTTTATATTATTAAATTTCTATAATATATATACTATTAAATATTAATTACTTTTTTATAATTATATAAATATAACTTTAATTATAAAATTTAAAATATTTATTTTAATTTATAATAATACTTTTAAATTAAAGTATATTAATATTACTTTTTTAAAAAAATTTATTTTAATTATTAAAATATTACCTTTTTATTATTATTTAATTAAAAGCTTTTTTTAATTATTTATTTATTTTATTTATAAGTAATATTATAATTGTATTATAAATTTTTTTAAAAAAATATTTATAAAAATTAATAAACTTTAAAAATAAAAATATTTTTTTTATATTATTAAATTTTAATAATTTTTTTATAGCTTAAATATAATTTCTTTTTATTTTAAATTTTTAAATATAATAATAAACTTTAAGTATAAAATATAATTTATATTAAATTTATATTTTTATAAATTTATATATAACTTATACTTTTTAAATACTTAAATACTTAAATACTTAGCTAATATATTATTAATATTTATTTATATTATATTTATATATAAAAATATTATATAAATAAATAATATAAATATAATTTATTAACTAATATAATACTTTATTAATATAACTTTAAAAAATTATAAATATATTAATAAAACTAATAAGTAAAATTTAATATTTAAAATATTTATATTTATATTTAAATATTATTTTTTATTTATTTCTTTTATAAATATATATTTAATAATATATATTTTTTAAATTTTATTTTAAATATATTTTAATTTTATTTAATTAATTTATAATTTTATATATTAATTAAATAAATATATAATTTTTATAAGTTATTTTATTAATTTATAATAATTTATATAAAAATATAATTTATTTTTTTTAAAATATAAATAATATTAGTACTTTAATAAAGCTATTTAACTTTTAAATTTACTTTTTTTTATTATATTTTTAATATATTTTTAAAAAACTTACAGTTAACTTATATTTAAAAAGTAAATAAACTTTTATAATAATATAACTTTACTCTTTAAGTTAATTAAGTATATTAGCTTATTTAAAATAATTAATTTTATTACTTTTTTTTTAAAAAAATACTTTTATATATTTTTTATACTTTAATAAAAACTTTTTTATAATAAATTTATTTTATTATTACTTTTTTACTAAAGTTCTTTTTAAAATAAATAATATTATTTTAATTTAAGTTTTTTTTTTTATTTATAAGCTTACTTTTAAATTATTATAACCTTTAAGTTATTTTTTATAAGCTTATAATATTATTTTTTTATTTAATAATTAATAATAAAATTTATAATTTCCTTTTATAAGTTATTTAAAATAATATAACTTTTTATAATTATTATTATAAAAAGTATTAATATTTTTTATAACTCTTTAATTATTTATTATTTTATAGATTACTTAAATTTTTTTTAATAAGAAATTTTTTTTAATTAAAATTTTATTTTTATTTTTTTTTTAAAAAAGTAATAGCTTTATTATTTATTATTTATTAAGTTTTTTATTACTAAAGTTTTATTTACTTTAATTATAAAGCTTATAATTATTTTATATTTTTTTATAATATAATTTAAGTTTTTATATTATATATAATTAATAAATATATAATTATAATATATATAAGCTTTATTATACTTTTAATATATTAATTATAAATTCTAGAATTTTATTTTATTTTAATTTATTATTATTATTATATTATATATAATTTATTATTTCCTCCTAGGTATAAAAAAATAAACTATCTATTATTATAACTTATTATTAAACCTTTTTTTTAATATTTTATTATTATTATTATAGTTACTTTCTTTTATTATATATTTAATTAAGTTAAGTGTTTAGCTATAGTTTTATTTAGTAGCTTTTTAATTCTTTTAAGTAGCTAAGGTACTTTAGTATTACTTTTCTTACCCTTTTATATATTATATTATTACTTCCCTTCTTTAAATTTATTAATCTTAACCTAGTTATTAATTTATTACTATAACTCTTTAATTTTAATAATTATTACTTTAAGTAATAATAAATTTAAATAATTTTTATTAAAAAAATAAAAGTTTTTTTTATATTTTTATTATACTTTAATATTACTTTAAATAAAATCTTAAGTAAATTATTAAAAATTTTTAAAAAATTTAAAATTATATATAAATATAATTTTTAAACTTAAAGAAACTTAATTAATTTAAGAGTTTTTATTATATAATAAAAGCTTAATAATATAAAAGTTAAAGCTAAGGCTATAGTAATTAATAATAAAAAGCTAAGTTAAGTATAATAAACTTAAAGTAATAATTTATTAAAGTAAAATTAATATTTAAAATTATAAAAAAAAAAAATTTATAATAAAATATATTAAAATTTATTTTTAATATAATTATATTAGT